GACCTAGGCTTCAGCCTGCTAAGCCTATAGGTAAATCTGACACTGACTTTAAGAAGGTCACTGATCCAGGAAAAATCCCAGTAGTTGTTCTTCAGAATATTAGGTCAGAGTTATCTCCAATACTGGCAAAATAGTTTAACTGCTGCCTGAAGGAGAAATGCTTTCTAAATCAATGAAAGGTATCAACTATGGGTCCTGTTTTTAAGAATAAGGGTAAATGCTAGTGTTTGTCACAACATCAACCCATTAAACTCATTGGTATTATCAGCAAACTCTTTGAATCTATAATCAACAAGAACATTGTTGAACACTTCTACAGGAACAAACTTTTGAATTATAACCAAAGTATGAATTAGAACCATAGCTAAGGCACTAGATAATAAATTCTTCATCATAAAGAACATTGTCTTAGATATATCAAAGGCCTTTAACATAGTGTTACATCATGGGCTGCTACATAAACTCTTCATTTATGGATGGTACTTAAGCTCATTGTTAACAGCCAGTCAACATCAGAAGCCCATAAGATCAATGCTGGCATTCCACAGGGTTCTCTTGCTGATCTTACTTTCTTTCTTTTCTATATTAATAATCTGCCAAAAGATATGCCTCTGATCTTTAATGAATATCCATGCAAATGATACAACAGTTTATACATGTGCCTTCAAAAATCTGGATGACCAGAGCCTAACAGCTGATCTCTCCTGACCTATCTCTGGTGGCTCAATGGTGGAAAGACTGGCCTAACTAGTAATGTCCCACCACTCTGAACCTTCACCTATCATGATGGATGACTGTTCTCCCAAAAAGGCTCCTTGACTTGAACATCTATTTTGACTCAAGCTCACCTCAGACTGCAAGTGGAAATCATATATGCAGGGTGCAAATGCTATTTGAGGACATATTGTTTTAAGTTCACTACACGCTCAAATCATTTATAATATTATTTTTTTTTATTTTAGATAACCCTGTCAGAGGAAGATGTTAACCCAAGAAATGAAAAGACCTGCAGTCATTGTTGCTTTAGCTGTTGCCAGATCATTTGTCCATAAGGTTCGGTTGGAGCTAGAAGGATGTGATGGCAATGTTTCTCCTTTAGCAAAAAGAAAAAGCATTCACAGCGCTCTGATACTGTGAGAACATCAGAATTTATATGGAATGTTCAAAACATCATCGATGAGAACCCCAGAAGATCAATGAGGTCCATCGCCAAAGAACTCCAGGTATCAGAGTAGACTATCAGAACCGTCGTACATCAGGACATTCGATATAAGTCATATGTTATGAGGAAAGGCCAATTCATATCGGCGAAGATACAGAAAAACCATCTCATGTGTTCAAAACGGTTGCTAAACAAAGTGAAAAATCCCCACAAATATGGCATGCTTTGGTTTTTATCTGACAAAAAAATACTTTGACCAAGATCAGAAAACAGACAGAATGACAAGTGGCTATGTGCATCTCTTTCTGAAGTACCCAGGGTGATGCACACCAAATATCCGGCTATTGTGATGGTTTTAGGAGTTGTGAGCAGTGAAGGTCAAGTCATGCCACCTTACATTTTCCCACAAGGTCTTAGGGTCAATGCTGCTGGATACATTAATGTTCTTAAAATGGTTGTTAAGCCCTGGATAAATAAAGTATGCAATAGAAGGCCATATGGCTTTCAACAAGTCTCTGCACCTTCTCACAAAGTCATTGTAACCCAGGTTTGGTTATCAGAGAATTTTTACAATTATGTGACCCCCAAAATGTGGCCCCCTAACTTGCCAGATTTAAATCCTATGAACAATTATATGTGGAGCGTCGTTGAAAGGGAGACTAATTGGCACTCTCATAGTACCATAGCTGCACTGAAGGCTGCCATTGTCCAGGTAATGACCAAAATGAATAGGGACCACTTAATTGCAGCTTGTGGACGGTTTCAAGCCTGAATAGAAGCAGTCATTGAAGCCAAAGGTGGTTTCATAGAATAATTAGATAAAAAAAGTATCATGAAGGATATTTATGTCAATTTGAATTAAATATAAACATTGTTTGCTAAGATATTGCTGTTTATTTAACATACTAAAAATGTCCTCAAATAGCACTCACAACCTGTATATATGGTCTGTTGCTAAAGATGCCAGAAAAATGGTTGGTTCATTGTACCACTCCAATAAGTACCTACTATATTCTATCTTTACAAGACACAGATCAGACCGAAAAATGGAGAATTGCTGCTATATCTTGGCTGAGGATGCCCAGTCCCCACTTGCCTGTCTTGAGAGAGTTCAAAAGTGTCTATGCCACATTGAGAGTGATTAATTATTTCCACCTTACAATTCCTTTCCCACAGTTGAAACATTACTATTTCCATGGCCAAGGTTCTGATGAGTTACATTTCCTGGTTCCACCTTTGCAGGTGGGACCCGCTATGCCACATACACACGGATGAATCCTCCTAATTCCCTTCATATTCCATTAGTAAGGAGGAAGTTCCACTCAGACAGCTTCTTCTCAAGAACTGCTTTGTAAAATAGACTTCCAAGAGAATGTTTTCCCATTTGCTAAAATATTTACCTTTTCAAGTCCATTATCTTCCCTACATAATCTCATGAACTGCACCTTTTGACTTTACATGCACTCATACAACACTGCACAGTAATCCTCTATCTTGAGTAGCTTTTGGGCTTAGTATTGGGTGAACATTAGTATAAAAAATGGTTTGCAAAAAGCAGACAAACAAATACTGTAGGGAGAGCTTATTAAGTTAAGATCAGTTCCATTTTTTGCAAGAAGTGATGTCTTATTCCAAAATGGACAGCTGAAAATTAATTCTTTACCATATTTTTTATCATTTTGTGTTTTTATTTCTTCTTCCTTTTCTTTTTCATTCTCTATACTAATTAACTCCTCCTCATATTAAAACGAAATTTATAAAATGTTTACAGATACGTGGCCAGCAGGAATTTTCTAAATTCCCATCTTGCACATTTTAACCTTTAGTACACTGCATTATTAATATTACTTCCCTTTCTACTGCATTCTTTTTCAAGGCCTCTCAATTGCAGTAGCCTTATTGTTAATTTCACTCAAAGTTGGCAGGATATAACACAACTATGAAATTCAAACACACTATTGTTCAGGGACAAGATCTACCTTCAGTGGAAGGAAAAACTTTTTGTACACATAGAGTGTGATAAAAGTTTCAAAATAGGTAAATTTTGATGCTTTAAGTTTAGCCTTTAAATTAATAAACGTCATAAAATATTCATAAATTAAATATGTTTAATTTTCTTCATCATAAAAACAGGCAATAGAAGGACAGAAATTAATACACAGAATTTTTTCCTTAAATAAAATACATATGTTAATGATCTAGCTAAGAACATTCTAGGATTATTAGTAAATATCACTCCAGCTGATTCTGCAAATTATGTATTTGTATTAAAATCTAGAATAACCGGAAACTTCTAATCTCGCCCTAAGAGACCAAAGCATCTTGTAACTTTTCAACATCACCAAAGCAGACCTGAAATTCTCTCCAGTCAAGACGAATGGCTGCACCCTCAAAGAGGCTGCTTGCATTAGAAATCTATTGGAACTCAAGTTCACCCCAAACCTCAAGTGGATCTTATATATATGAGTAAAGACTATGACTAAAGATGCTGCTAAAATGGTTAGTTCCTTATACCACTCTAGTAAGTACCTAACTCCACCTACAAGAGCCAGATCAAACCAAAAATGGAGTATATGCCACCTTGTGGGCAATGAATTATTTTCCACCCTACAATGCCTTTCCCACTGATGAAACATCACAAGCCTCTCATTACTCTATCACTATTTCTATAGCAAGTGTTCTGATGAGCTACACACCATAATTCCACCAGTTTAGACCTTCACAGCCAAGATCCTCTATGCCAGGTACACAGGAGGAGGGGTCATTCTCATTCTTTTCATATTCCATTGGGAAGAAAGAAATTCCATACAAACAGCTTCTTCCTCATAGCACTATTTGCGGAATAGACTCCCAAAACGATACTTCCCTGATCAATCTTAACCTCTTCAAATCTAGTTATCTATCTTTTATCTATCCTCCATATCCTCATAATCCACACTTTTTATCTCCTCCTCTAATGTCCATAAAACAGTATCTCTCTACCAGGAGTGGCTTTGTTGCGTTATATTGGGTGAATAAAGTGAAAAGTTATATTATTTTCCCATACTATCAACAACTTTTTTGTCTGTAACAAGTTTTGAACAAGTTTGCTGTTTGAAAAATCTCGGTTTAAAAGAGGAAAACATTCAACAATTAAGCATCACTCCCAAAAACCGTCATCATTACTGATATTTCTATTTTCGTTTATATATTTTTCTTTAAATCCAAATTTGTTTCTTTTTACTTGAAAAATATTTATCTTGTGGTTTTTGCATTTTCCTTTGAATTAAACGAATTTTTGATAAAAAGGCAAATTTTTACATTTTTCTTTTTTATTTATTTAACTCTCTCCTTCAGTGTACACACACATATAGATAGATAGATAGATAGATAGATAGATAGATAGATAGATAGATAGATAGATAGATATACATACATACAGACAGACAGACAGAAAGAAAGAAGACGCTTGCACGTTTCTCGAAATTATTTGCTGGACAAAGGCTAAAAAGTAAAAAAAAAAAAAAACATCTTTTACGGCAGCCTATGGAGTAGCCGAATGCTTTTTTTAAAATTTCATCTTATATTTGTTGATTGTGTGAGTGAGTTCCATCCACACTGAGTGTTCCATTATTGTGATCTTATACTAGACATAGTTAATTTTCATAAATAATAAAGTTTTTACATTCGTTGACCACTGGGTGTATGGAACTCGCTAAACTTATGAAAATAGCATTGGCCTCTTGCGTGTCCCACAAAAGACGATCACGGGCCCCATGGTTGAGGGATGGGGGTACACTTCTTGAAATGTAAAAAGGGAAGTAACTCTGTATAACGAAGGGAGAGTATTCAATTCAATATGGCGCTCAGACCGTTCGTTACCGTGCATGCCGGCGCCGGTTTTCATTCGGTTGCTAAAGAAGCTGATTATGTGGCTATCTGTAAAGCTGCATGTGAACGTGGCCTTTCTGTTCTGGGATCCAATGTGCCGGCCCTTGATGCTGTTGTGGCGGTTATGATGTGCCTGGAAAATGCGACATGCACGAATGCTGGTACCGGGTCCAACCTGACCTTGTATGGCACAGTGGAATGTGATGCTTCAGTCATGGATGGACGGACCACGGCTTTTGGGGCGGTCGGAGCTGTCCCTGGTATAAAAAACCCTGTTTGCCTTGCTAAAAGGCTGATTGAGGTTCAGGCTGAAGGTTTATCCTTAGGTAGAATTCCTCCAAGCCTTCTTGTGGGACAAGGTGCCCTGGACTGGGCTATCCAACAAGGATTTTCGAGTGTTGCTGGCAGCGAATTGGTTACTGAATCTTCCGACAAGACTTATCGAAAGTACAAAAAGAGATTGTTACGACTACATTTCGATCAGGAATCTAGAAAGGCGTGCAAGTCTATAAAAGCTCCATCTTCTTGGCAAGAAGATACGACTCAAACATTTGATAACGATATTTTCTGTAATAGCAGTCGTCATGTTGCAGTGGATGAAGCAGGAAATCCGAAAAGACAAAAAGTGAACTCGCTTCTTTCCGAAGATGATGATGTATCTTTTGGGCCTCTTCAAGCTACCCCGTCTGTTAATCCGCAGGAAAAGTTATTACCCAACCATTTATTAAGTGAAAATTTCCTTTCAGATCGACCAATTGACTGCTCAACAACTGACGACTCCAACACCGACAGAGGCAATTTTTCTCTAGAAGCAAATTTATCCAAACATTTGGACACAGTCGGGGCCATGTGTGTTGATTCTCATGGTAACATCGCTTGTGCTGTATCGAGTGGGGGCATCGCCCTGAAGCAACCGGGTCGCCTTGGATCGGCCGCTTCCTTCGGAGCCGGGTGTTGGGCCTTAAACCAAAATGTGAACACTCCTGGAATTGGTGTTGTCACTTCGGGTACCGGCGAACACTTGATACGAACTAATTTTGCCAAGGAGTTCGCTGATTGTATCTTATCCGAAAAGGACACAACAATGGCCGTAAACATGGCTTTTGATCTTAAATTTTTCGGATCTCCTTTGTTAAAAGACGTCAAACAAAAATACGCAGGGACTTTGTTAGTGAAACAAAAAACGTTGAACCAAATTGAACTTGTTTGGTCTTATTGCACCGCCAGTATGTGTGTGGGTTATGGCGTGGGAGGTCATGAACCAACTGCTTTCATTTCACGATTAGCTGACTCGCAAATCCCAGGGAAATCCCTTCATGTTCAAGGGATACATTTTTGTTTATGAATATATTTTCCCTTGTAAAGTGCCACTTATTTCTTTACTTTGTAGCCAGTTTCTATAATTTTAACTTTTTTTTATAGTTTTTTTTAATCATTTTTCCTTTGAAATGCGAATGGGTAAAAATTTCTCAAATTTCCCTAGCATAACATTCATTCATTAATCGACTTTTTTCTTTTTTTTTTCTTTTTGTTTTTGTAATACTTTTTTTCTTGGAAAAGAAAAATGCTGGAAACGTTTTAAAATATTACAAGAAAGAAAAGCAAAACATATGAAAAATTATCCATTTTTTACTATTTTGAAAACAAATTAATTCAAACCTTTCATTTTTTAATCAAATAGGGACATAAAAATATTTCATAAATGAATCTCATTTTACACTCAAAATAGGTACCTAATAAGTAGGTGTCATAGAATACGCAATAATTTCAAAGGTTGTCAATTAAAGGTTCAGCCCAAACTCATTTAGGAAAGAAATAGGAAGAATGTATTGAACCTGCCTTGAAAATCAGCATCTAAAATCCTGGCTTTTAACTTGGTTTGAACATCAAACTTTGACACACCAGGAAATATGCAACTACCTCATTCCTTACAGCAAACCAAAAACTTCCAAATAATTAATTATAGATGTTTAATCAAAAGAGATTTATTTGCCTGTTAAAATTCCATCTTTCTTTAAACTAGTGTTTCTCAACCTTTTTAACTTCAGGGTTGTGATTTTTTTTACTTCAGGGTTGTGCCCTTATAAGATAACTAAAACTCTGGCACACACTTTAAATTTTAATAAGGAAAAATTAGTCCTGAAAATTTAAAATATGAAATTTTGGTCTAGCATTCCCAAATATTAGTAGTACAGTTTTCATTTAAAGGGATTTGATATTTTTTGTTTTAGAGAGGCCAACAGTGACTGATTTAAAACTCTAGAGGATGACAAAAGTGTAAGGATTATCCATTTCTTAAAGATTAAAGAATTTAACATCCAGTTTAAAATGACAAAGACTTAGACTTGGAAGCCATATGCTTGGTGTCTCTAACTTTAAAAATAAAGATTTTTTTTTTAAATTTAAAAATAATTGATAAATAACTCTTCTGTTAATTTGGAGGGCACACTTAGCTACCTTTCAGAGTTTATTAGTGTGCACCATTTGAGAAATGCTGCTTTAAACAGTCATTTACATATAAACATTAAGTTTGCAGACATGTAAAATTTGTAATAAGATTTACGTAATAAGTAGAATAAGATAGAAATTTAACTTTATCACACAGTAACAGGAAACATTTGTGTGAAATTCTTCCTTGAGGAAGAATAGAAATTCAGATGAAAAACATTTTATTTATTAAATAAGTTTATATGAACTGACTAATTATGAATTAGAAAATAAAACTGAACAATTTGAAATCTAATCTTGCAATCAAAACCTCCATTTGATTCTGTGACTCTTTCTAAATGTGAGGCATGGAGTCAGACAACAAATACAGAACAGTTTTTTTTTTCTGATTAAAAATGGGTTTGTACTTGTCTGACTCCATGATTCAAAAATGATTGTTATAAAAGTGGAGATACTTAGGTGAGATTTTACAGCTTCTTTCCTATTCACCTCCGACTGATCATCTTTTCAAACATTTTAATTGATAAGAAATAAAAGATTCAATTATTTTGGTTTTTGGAGATGTCTAGCCTCTAAAATATTTTATAAAGATTGAATATTTTCATGATATACCAATTGAAAAAAGTTAAAGAATCAAATGTTGCAATTTTTAATTAAAACCTAAAATACTCTTTAAAAAATGTATTGTTCCTCTCAACCATTTTGGGTGAAACAACTGAATATTTATTTATAGCAGATTATTAATACTTTGATATTTGTTCTGTCATTTTAATTAAGTTTAAGGCTCTTTTTTCCTAATTTAAAATCTCCTTTCTCTAAAATTAGCCAAGTCTAGCATAAGGTTACACTCATGAGAAACAAACTCCTTATTAATAGCTTGTGAAATCAGTATGCTCAACTCCAAATAACAATGCTTTAGCAACTCCATTTATGACTAATTTAAACCTTCACCTTTCAAAGTAGACAGTCTAATGATCAAATGGCAAATGATTATTGTTTCAGAAAAAGTTAAAAATTGATTTAGATAAGAGAATTTAGAAATTAATAACTTTTTCTTTCGTATTTACTTTTATTTTATCAAGAAAAAGAAACAATATTACTGATGTTTTACAAGTAACAAAACTTTTTTTGTGGCAATTTATTTTTTTTTAAATTTTATTGTTAAACTATTTCCATCATTGTCTCTAATTAGTGCCATTTTTTTCTGTAAGCAGTCATTTGATTTGTTGTTTTGGTCCCATTAAGATTTTAAGGAAGGCAAAAAATAGGTGTATAAAACTGTATACACCTTTTTTTTTTATTTTATTATTTTTTTATTTTTCTGACAAAAAATCAGTTTGGGAAGATCGATTAGTTCCCTGGTTAATTTGTATGATAAACATGTAATGTGGTATGCTTAAAAAATATCAAGAGTTAATTCCCTTTTTTAGAATATTGCTACATTCAGGAGTAAATCATTACGCAGCAGCAGGAAGAAAAATGATTTTTGAATGGCTCAGTTGGTATTAAAGAGACAACATCTATACGTCTGCTTCAGGATTCTTGTCTCTGCAGTGTCATTTTAAATATATAAAAAATACGCATCTTTTGGGCAGATTTGCTGCAGCAGTAACTAAGACATATTTCCTTCCCTGCAGTATTAAGAAAGCAAAAGAATTGACCTCCTTTTTAAAATAATAAAATTGTGTAGTTCAGATATTAATTACTTATATTTTATTAATGATAGAATACAAAATGTTTCTGAGAATTTATTTAAATTGCAGAATACTATCAAGTATGAAACTTTATGCCAAAATAATTTTGTAATTCTTTATTTTGTTCATTTATGCTTTTACTCTCAGTCTTTATTAAGCTTTACTCTGTCTGGCACAAGGCCACAATTATGGAATAGTCAGTGAGAATGCAACTCACTGCACTGTAGTTATGGTCTGCTAGACTAGCTCATTAACCATTACCTCATAGTGAGGTGCCCTTTATGTTGTAGTATCTGTCTAATCATGAAGAAAGCTCATTTTAGAATCATAGTTTTGATGGATTTACTGCTGCTTTTCCACACACATGCACATATGTAGAATATTATTTAAATTAGTCTGGCACAAGGCCAAAATAAAGACAAGAAAATCTTGTGATGCTCTTCTAAATGAGAAGAGCCAGTTTACTGCCTTAAAAATCTACTTTCAAAATCCTTTCATTTACTTGTGCTTGAATATTAACTGCTGCTGCTCCGGTGGTAAATTTACAACTACCTCAGCCATCAAGCAAGCATAATGCAGTTTCCAGTGAAGATTGAACTTGCTGCTCAATAACCAGCATAGTAACCATTTCATTACATGGTGTCTTTACTATTTACTAAACTTTATTCTGTCTGACATAAAGTGAGAATCAAACACACAGCATAGCTGTAATATCCTGCTAGACTAGCTCATTAACCATTACCCAATGGGGAGTGACATATGTCTTATATATATTGGGTTGGCCAAAAATTTGTTCAATTTATTAAGTAAATTTTCTACTTAATAAGCAGACAACCTTTTTTGCTAACCCAATATATAAGCAAATAATACCTCTAATCATATTCACATATATGTTCTGATGATCTCTTAAGGCATGAAACTGATATTCACTATACAGTGTTGATTTCTATGTACACAATACATATATATATATATATATATATATATATATATATATATATATAAATTGTCAAAAGGTTCATTCAATTTATTAAGTGAAAAAAATAATTTTAAAAAAATTTTTGACATTAACTTTATTGAACAACTTATATTATACCATTTTGTCCACCATCTTTCAGGAACTTCATAATTCCATCCTCCCAGGACTTTTTATCCCCCCCACCCTCAAAAAATTGCTCTTCATGCCTTTTAAAGTTTTCCAAGAAAATGAAATTTTTTCATTGAAAGAATAAAAGGACAATGTTTGATAAATATTTCACAGCTATATTTTGCTTGCTTACCAAAGAACCACTTTTGAGTCAAAAACTTCAGAATACCTCTGTAATTAACTCTGTGGAATATTATGTCCTTTCTCTTAACTGATTCTTGATGCTTTTTTTCATTCTTTACTGCCTTCTGCAACTAGCAGTTGTTTGTATTTTCAAAAGAAGCTCATAAAATACATAGCTTATACAAATCACCTTCTTTGGATGAAAACAAGTCTTTGATATGGTTAGTGATGGTTCATTTTGAGTGCTTCATGATTTCTGTATTCAACATTGGTGTAAAGTAACCACTTTTCATTGTTTATTACAGTTTGTATAGAAAATATGTCCATTATATTTCAGTTGCAAATTACACATGGAAATCTAGTCCTGTTGATTATTTTGCTTATATGGAAGTGACTAACATAATTTACTGCAAATGTGAAGTGATTTGATTATTTTGAATATGTTGGTTTTCCAATAATTGAATAACATTGATTATTCCCAAGTAATGTCTTGCTTTAATTACTGTCAACCTCAACTAATTTAACCAACTATTGGAGTAAAATTCATCAAGAAATTTCAAGCCTCAAACTTTCCAAACAACTTTTGAAATGTTTAATCTCAGTCACTTTTTTGTCATAAACTGCTTGAATCACTTTTGGTGTTTGAATCACATTTTTACTTTTTGTTAAAGCCTTACAGGATGTAAATGTTATTTTTTCCACTCTTTAATGTTAGAATCAATAAACAAAAATCTGTCACTTCTGACAAATAAAGCCCACTGATATGACAGCTGTCACAATGGAAAGGAATCTTTTGGAAAGGAAGTTGAAATTAGAATCACCTAATGACATCTGATAATAAAAACAATTAATTTTAGGGTCAAACCAATATAGATATAAACGTGTGTCTTTATATATATATATATATATATATATATATATATATATATATATATATATGTATGTGTGTGTGTGCATGTATGTATGCATATACCAATTTTTAAATCCTCCAATTCTATCTCCTTGAGTTTTGGTACATCAAATGAAAACAAAATCAAATATGATGAAGTCATTAACATTTATTCATGTTTCTGTCAATCTCAGTGATAACTCGTGCATTTTTACGCAAACACACATTTTATCTTTCTTACTGCATACACACAACCACACAGATTATCCAATAGCCACTTGCTGTAGAATAATGTTTGTTTCATATTCAATTACTTGTGAGTTTAGGGTGTTTTTTACTGCCACACTAAAAGGAGGAATATGATGTCTGGTGTATACAATAACAAAAATGTGTTACCCAAACACTTTCACTCTGTCTTGCCTTCAACATTAATTTTCATGTGCCAAAATGAAAAAAAAATTCTTTTTTAAAACTTTGCTAAGATCTTATATGTGCTTTAGATCTTCATTTTGGTTTATTTTTGGAACTGTGCTTTTTGAAGTTACAGCATTGGCTTCATCACAAGTCACAATTAATGATGTTATTCAGACGAATAAGAAATTTTTTAATGACTTTTTTTCTATTGAGCTTCCCTACAGCTCAAGTTTCAAGTGAATTTGCCTACAAACAATGCATGTTGCCTTTCCCCTTGCTTCACTCTTCATATGGTCTTCTTCCATTCTCACGTTGCCTTCTTTCCTTCTTCTCTCTTCATCTTATTTTCTTTATATTCTCATGTTGCCTTCCTTCCTCTCTCTTGAAGCTGCCTTCCTTCCATTCTCATGTTGCCTTTCTTTCTCTCTCACCATGTTGCCTTCTCCCCACTCTCTTCAAACTGCCTTTCTTTGATTCTCATGTTACCTTTCTTCCTTCCTCCCTCTTCATCTTGCCTTCCTTTAACTCTCTTCGTATTACAGTGTATTACAAATATAGCCACATTACTTTTATCTGCTCTCCATGGCAATCTGTTATAGATGACATGCTAACAAGACCAGATCCTTGTGAATTTTGTTGAATCCAGACTCCTCCCTTTTTTAATTTCAAATAAATTACATCTGTTCCGGTATCAGTTCTCTTATGACAATAGGTGTGGTCCATAGATGGCTTTCTGGGGGTCATATCTTCAAAATCATAAAAACTAAAGTGTTCCCCCCCACCATGTGAATATCATTTTGAAAGCAAAAATTTGGACAACTTTCTAATTTTGGCATATCACAGGCCAAAGAGGGGTTTAGATAGCCTTAACCAAGGAAAGTATTCAGTATTTGACCACAAAACCTTGATGCAATTTGTTACAACTGTTCAATACACAATAAATGTTATATAATTGATGTACATAAGTCTAATGATATTTTAATTTGGTAAAACAAACAAAACTGGAGGGAGGCATAAACATGGAAAATAAATAAATACCACATTTGAGTATAAGTATACGTAAGCAACATTACGTCACAGCTAATGTTGACGCTTGTTGGAAAAATGGCTTAAAATTGTTGAAAGAAAAAACTGGACAGATGCACCAAAAATATTTTCAAAATATTCATATATCCCAACTCCTTTGTTCATGAATGGCTATCACCTGTCATGACAGTATTTATAACAATACCTGATCTGTGTATTGACATCATAGATTTGTTTAATTTACACTACCAGGCCATTTATCCACAAAATCTGAATTTCCATCAAGAAAGCTTTGTTCTATTCTTTCATTTTCTTTAACCTTCATAAATGTATTTTTCTTGCTGACTAACAAGTTCTTCATATTCTTCACTCAATAAATGGTGAGAGTGCCATCTGGCCTTTGAATGTTTTATTAATCATAAATAGTAATCTCAGTCTGGTGCCTGGAAATCATCTGGCTTTCTTCCTTTGTGTGTGTCCAACATCACATGGTTTTCTTCAAACTATTTCTTCATGAGACTTCTATTAGACTAGAATTTATAAACCTGCTCGTCATATTTTTAAAGGAGTCCGTCTAGTTTGCTCCTCACAGCTGTCAATTACAAAACCCTTGTCCTGCCAAAACTCTGTTTTCATTGCTGTTTATTGTATAACAATAGCAATAATAACACACTCATTTTAATGCTTAAATTTTTCAAGATTTAAACCCAGAGATCTGGCCACTTCATCCATTTTGTTCTGAAAATAAAGTTAACCTGAAAAATAAAGTACAGGAAACAATATCAATGAAATTTCCTGTCTTCATTGTCTAAAATGTTTTCCAGTCTGGGTTTATTACCCATCTACACTGGGTATTTCCCTGCTTAGTCCACATACCATCTTATACAATTTCCAGCAGTCAAAATTCAAATTAATGACATTTTTAGTTCTTATACCTAAAATAAGTCTCCCAGAATTTTCATCAATCAAGCTCTGCCATTTTGGACTACCAAACTTCATGTAAAAATCTGAGAAATTTAGATAATTCTATGGAAATTTAGATAATTCTATGGAAATTTGGTCACAGCAAAACAAATCTGAGAACAGAGAACCATATTAATGATTATGAGGAAGTGATGCAATTATTTTGAAATTAGAAATTGGTTTGTGATATGACAATTTTCAATATTTTTGAAAACCAATTTTTCCTTCTTGTTATGTATAAACAAAAAAAGGTTTTTAATTTAGCAAATTTGATGATCATGACTATAGCCATCCCTAATGACAACATAGTACAGTTTTATGATTGACTTTTTTTTCTCTCACATGGAAGCTACATGTTTCTGTAACAATAAAAGCTACATGTTTCTGTAACAATAAAAGAAAATTCCAAGTTCCTTTGGATTTTGGCAGTTTCTAATTTCCATAAAAATAATTCTCAGCCATTTCTATAATTGCTGAAATTGATGATAAGGGCTCAGTGATAGAACAAAGGACTATATTCAGAAATCTGAAGTTTTGTTATTGTTTAAAAATAAAATATTCCAATTCAAAGAAGAAAATCTCTTACTTGAAGAGAAAAACTCTTCTATTTTCCCACCATTTCTCCTTTTTGTAATATTAAAGCATTTATTAAATATAAATTCCCAATTTTGATTTCACTTTTCACTATGAACATGTCGCTCCATCCTTACAAAGACAAAAATCTTCCAAATGAACAGTTCAGAAAGTCAAAATCTGCAAGTTTTCATCTCATTAACCAACATTTGTGCTGACGTGAAGCAAAACTTGAGGAATGAGACTTTAATAAAGATACTATTTATTTTTTCCATTTTTTTAAACAAAACCTGTTTTCACTTTTAGATTTTGTCAATGAAAAATCAAATATACCCTACACTCATTGTGGATAGTCTAGCAATTTATCTTCAAGTAAAATAAAGCAAAAAAATTTCTAAAGAATCTGCTTTTCTTTTTTTAATTTTGACAGAAATTTTTTTACCTGATTTTAAAAAAATTGAAAGAGTTTACAAAAAAATCTTTGGTTTTTCTATTATTATTGAAACTCCACCTGTAGGTTTTTTTTCAATGAGAGAAAATCAAAAAAAAATTGTGTAGACTTTTTACAGCAATCACTTTCATAACAAGAAAAAAGTCATCATTATTCTTTTATTATTATTGAAATATGTCAGTTAAATTGAAGAAGATTTCACTTTTTGCAAGGAGTGCAGGAGAATAGATGTTTTCAATATTATTAATAAACTATTTCTACCTTTACTATTTAATAAAATAAAAACTGAAAACTAAAGTTGAGTTTGAAATATGTTACAAACCCTGTTTAGAAACAAACTTTTTTTTAACATCTGGAAATTATAAAGTCAAGTAGAAAAGAAGATCAAAATGTTTTATACCAAAATTTCACAAATGTGCCATGAAATATTCAGTGGCCACATAAAACCTGATTGAATTTTACTTGATTTACTTTCATTTAATTATTATCAAATACAAAAGACTTTCTTCTGTGGAAAAACTGTAACTAGAATACAAACACTGCTGTTATGAAACACTAATAAAATTCCAAAGAATTTATTGTTTTACTTGTAAATATTTCATCAAACCAGTTTCTATTTATTAATTGTATCCCTTTTCTTCTTTTTAAATTTCATCTATTGACATAGCCCATTAAAAGCAGGGAAATAAAAAAAAAGGTTTTGTTTGCCTCAAATTGAAAAAAGTAGGGAGGTAAACGGATAAAATGTTTTGGGGATCTCAAATTTCTCCAATGCTGAATAGTCTGAAATTTTATTTCTATGATAATAGCTGCAAATAAATATGAAGAAATGTTTACAAAAATCGTATATGCAGTGAAGTAAAGCAGCATGGTAAATCACTGAATTTACCAAGACAGGGCATTTTCTACAGTGTTGTAAAACAATTGCTAAAACTCCTGACAAAATTTTTTAAAGATATTTTTTTAGATATGTGAAATATGCAAATATGAATTGAAATATTCAATTCATTTTACTGAAATGTAATAATGAATAATTCAATTGATATTTCTATGTATGTCTTTGAATTTTTAACTAAGTAATCAGAGATACTATCTCAAGTACCTGGTTGGTGAGCTTCCTTTTAGTTTTCACTAATTTGCTTTGGAAGATCTGGTTCCAAATTAGTAGTGCTAAAAGCTTGTAAGTATCATGAGTTCTGTATAAAAAAGTATATTTTTCTTCTGTTCATTCATGAGATCAGTTCGGTTGACTGAGGTCTTTTTTATTTTAAAACTCGAATTAAGAGAATAAAATAAATCATTCTGCTGTTCTTTAATTCGACTTCTTGTAGCGTTCGTTGCTAAGGCACACGGGCGTGCCTAGCAACTATAACAAACAAGAAACAAGATTTTCATTCCGTGTGACATTATTTTCCCTTCAAGCCGACCGATTGGGGGCCAATAAGTTTTTGAATTGTTGAACATTTATTGTTAACAATAAGGTTATAAGCCGAAAAATGGTCACGGCGGACCCCAACGGTTACTTGAAGTGTGTGGAGGCTGTGGAGAGAGATGCCTACGAAATCTTAACCGGGAAACATTATGCAGTGAGCGCTCAGTTCGCACAGGAATTGTACCATATTCTAAGTCGACTTGAACAATTAAGGTTGGACAATGACCTGTTGTCTACTAGCAAGGATGCACGCAAATCTATGAACCATAATCCAAATGACCTGAACAAAAGATACGGTGAGGAAAAAAAATGTCAGAAACTAAGTCAATATTTTTATTTTTTTAGTAGTAAAAGCCCTAGTTTACTCACGCAGCCAATAAATAACCTAATTTAAAATTAATCATTATTGAACTAATTATTGTTTAACGCTTCTTCATAACCTCTGCTCCTTAATACAATTTTATCATTGTTTTTAACATTTTTTTTAGGGATTTCATAAATTCGAACTCACACTTTTTTGACCATTTGCATGCCATTGAGAAAGAAACGGCGAAGATAAGATTTTTGGTTAAACTAAGAAAATGTATAATTTTTTTTTGTAGGGAAATATTGTTTCCGATGCACTTTGTAAAAATGACCTTTACGCTTTGTGGGGAGATTTTTAAATTTTCGAGAAAATTTAAGTTTTTAAAATGGAAGCGATAAGAAGGTGTTTCTAAAAAAATGCCAAGAAGTTCTACACCGATTTTGGTTCCAACATTAGAACAACGAATGTTCAATTTAAAACAAAACTAAACTTTGTCTTTATGCAAAAATGTATGTAATTTTAAAGTACAGAAACTTAAAAAGAATTTTTTTAAAAGTTTATTTAGGGTAATCTGAGAAGGGTTTGTGGGCTGAGGGTTTTTTCATGACAGAGTCGCAGAGAAAAGAAAATGTAACTTTATCTGTTTTACTTTTGAAGCTACTTTTAAAATAATTATTGACTCATAAAAAAATAAAAAATGTTTGCTACTTGCGTAAATAAAAACTACGAAAATTTGCCGAAAAATTGGCATAAAAATGGACACAAAAAATCCAAGTTTTTGATTTTTTGAAATTGTAAATCGAAGACACCTTTCCGATTAAAAAACTGATAAAGTTCATTCTTCAAAGTAATTAAACTAAAGTCATTCAAATCACTAAAAACACAAGAAAAATATTTTTCTAGCAAAAATGCACACTTTAATAATAAAAAAAAATAAACCTAATCGATGCCAAGTGGAAAAGAAAAATGGGTTTTTGTAATAATGCGAATATAAGAGTATTTTGAGTTTGACTGAAAAACTTATTGATCGCGTGAGAAAAATAAGATTTTATTTTACTTTTTCTGAAAGAGCAAAAAATGTCATTTTAAAAAATTTACACTACAGTTTTAAATATTTTTAACTTAAGTCACTTAAGATTAAGAAGAATTTTTTTTTGTTTGTTTTTTTTTCATGGCTCAGCCGCCACTAATAGACAGAATTAAAAAAATATTATTATTTTTTATCTTTAGCCTTTGAAAGCACAGCACAAATAACTGTTCGGACTGCTTGGTAATCTTGATTTATTTTCGGAAAGATATTTTAGAATCGTCCAGAATTTACCCTGGGAATAAAACGCCTGCATATGGATAGAAAATGAATTCAATTTAAGTCAAACAAAAAAATACACAAAGAAAGATGCGTAGCCGTAAACGTCTCTTCTCACCTGATTTATTCAACTTAGGCGATTTCGAGAGAATTAGAAATTATACCAGGATTCATTATTGGTGCTGTAATCTTAACAATATGCAAATATCACACTCACAGCATTGATAGCAGACCCAGAAAGAAATATACGACGGGATCTCCTACAGAATAATAGTGAAATGAAAGCGAGAAGAAAGGACTAAACACCAATTGTAAGAAGACCAGATGGTTGTCAGTCAAAGGAACAATCAAAGATATCGGGGAAAATAATGACGTAAACTGTGACACCAAAATCCGAAGGCGGCTTGGAATAGCGAAAGATTCCGTTCAAAATGCTAAGCAAAGTAAGAAATAGGAACATCTCGTTAGAAACAAAGAAAAAAGTACTGAACTGTTATGTAATCTTTCTATATGTCAGTGAATACTGGAAAATCCCATCACAGATGAAGAAGAAACTTGTTTAGGCAACAGACAGAAGGATGCGGAGAATCCCATGAACTGAACATGTGAATAACGAGGAAGATTTGGGGAAAATGGAAACAAAATGGACGCTTATAATACTCAGAATCAGAAAAAGACAATTGAAATTTCTATGGCACGTAATAATGCGGAATGAAGGCTCGGAAAATTCGACACACACAGAGCAATGAAAACAAGAACAGAGGAAAGCAGCCAATAGCCTACCTAACGATCTTCTTGTGTATGGTTGACAGAACAGGGGTGGGGGTAACAAAAAATAGCTTGTGGAGAGATATAAATTGCCCACGTTCTGAAGAGACACGACACATAGATTTTTTTATCTAAAAAAATAATAAAGAATTAATTCGCTAAAAAAATGTTTTGCACAAAAAATAAAATTGATTTTTATCTTTGATATTTTTATTCTCTCTAACGAATTGAATAGTTGCGGGTACTGGAATACGTTAGAAAACAATGTTCAAACCCTGGTAAAATAAAAATAAAAAATAAACAAGCTCTGTAATGCTGTTTTTCAAAGCACTTGGAAGCGTTGACGTGTTACAATACAATCACGTTGCTAACGAACCTCTTTTGATTCATATGTATCAGGCTTGATTTTATGCCCTATCTTCCGGACATTTTTGCTTTGAGCCTAAACTGCTTGGCAATTTAATTTCTGTTTGTCAAGAATTTAAGTTTGAAACATTTTAGAAAAAAGTGGAAGCCTGAGTTCATTCCCCCCCCCCTTTTCTGTGACTGTGTAATCGCCAGTTTTTATCATTATTTATACAACACAAGAAACGTGTTTTAGACAATTAGGATTTAAAATATGAACGAATGACTTCATGACTCTTCACGATTAGATTTATTTTATACAAGGGAAGTAACTCTGAATAACCAATTGGTTACTTAAGAATTCAGTACATACAGGTTGATGCGAAAGTATTGTCATCTCTACATAATATAATTTTCTATTTCAAATGGCTGACAGGAGCTCCTACAGTTTGGAAGAGAGGTAGGGGGTGACAAGACTTTCGGACGACCTTTGTCTCATTAAATCCACAGGAAGAGACAACTGAAATTTCTAGGATACATAATTAGGAAAGAGAGCTTGGAAAATCTGATACCCACAAGACAGATGGAAGACAAGATGGACAGAGGAAAACAACGCATTACAATAACACTTTGACTAAAAAAAAATGAATGATGGAACAGGGTTTGGGAAAAATAACAAAAAAACAAAATTTATTAAGAACTACAAAGAACAGGAAATTGTGGAGAACTATTATTGCCTACATCTTGAGGAGACACAGCTCATAAAGAAGAAGTCAGTTCATTTCTCCCAGGGTATCCCATAGTTTCAGCCTTGTGCCACAAATCACCATATATGTAAAATGTGTATGTATATTATGTATATATATATATATATATATATATGCAATTTTTTATATATATATTATTTATATATTATGTATGCACGGTACTTATTAGGAAGCGACCAATATAAGTGACAGAGCTAAAACATATTTTGTACACAGACATACATACCACTGCATAAATACCAATAAGTATTATAAATTGGGGTTTCTAACATTTACATAAGCGTAATCGCCAAAAACAAGCAAATAACTGGCTTTAAAATATTAACAAAAGAGCATTAAAAAATTTAAAATAATAATAATTTTACCTACTTACTGACACAGACCCCATCTTAAGATAAAAAAACAGACGAATAGAAGGTGTGTGAACGTGAGCGCATACATATATGTGTGTGCAAGAAAACATTATTCCGAAAACAAAATAGACAAATGGTCTGTGTGTTGACTCTGTGACTTGCAAAAGATGTTTGCTACACAATCCAACATTGAATACAGCAACCAATTGCATACGTATACACACAAATACACATGGTTGCACCTATACACAGTCCCACACTATTCATATATGTTTATGTTTGTGTGAGCTGCAATGCATGAACATATGTGTATGTATTTCTGCGTACATATGAGTGGCATTCTGACAACAATTTTTCCTCCCACTATCATAAAACACTGATATACACAACCATAAATAAATCCAAAATTTAAAAATTAATCAGTTTCTGTGATGATCACAGAGAGGATGAAACCCTGGGTCACAAACTCACATCAATCCAACTGTGTGTGTGTGTGTAAAATTATGTGTAAAATTTTAGATATAACTAAAATATATATCTGTAAAAGGACATTATGAATAAATAATCATAAATTATGCAGTCTTAATTGAATTGTAAATACTTATGGCGATTTCTTTTTTTGCAGAAGCTATTCCTATTTTGAAAGAAGCTTCCAAGTTTCTCGGAGAATACAAAAATAAGATGACAAAAGCAAGGCTTGGAGTCCGAGAAGCAAACCAAATACGAGAGTTAGAAGAATGGGCCATGTTGAATGTAAACAACATAGAAAGGGTAGTTCTTTATTTTTCAACTTTCATTTATTAAGCAGATAATGTATAAAGGGTTTTATTTTTGTTATCTTTTAGTGTTAATATATTACCATATGAGGTGCCTCTACTTTCAGCCTTATGCCACATCTAAGCAACGCTTGGAAAATCATTATATTACCATATAAAGTTCAAATTTTATGTAGATTTTTGAAAAAATTGTTTTTAATATCTGAACCAGTTGCCACATTCAAAAATCATTACAGACAGCAAAGAAGTTCATTTTACAAATTTTCAATTTTAGTGGATTTAATTATCACTGAGTGCCATTATAACAGCTCTGTCGCAAATTTCATGCAGAACTAAATTTAGTAAAAAGTCTTATCATTGCTAATGCATGAATATTTGTAAAGAAGAATAAATCTTGCTCAAATTTTCTTAATGTTTTGAAATATATTTAGATATTTATTTCTACCATGAGAAAATGGCAAAGTATTTGATCTAATATATATGGAAACACTTTAATGAACAAATAAAGCTTTAATATGTGGAAATAATTTATATGGTGGTGGGTGTGTCTAAGTGGGATTTGATTTTGAAATAAATTCTATGCTTTATCTTTAGATGTTGGAACCTTACCTCGTGGCAGCTTATAATCGGACCCGAAGTTTTTCTGATGATGTTGGCGTCACTGATCGCTTCACAGGTTTTCGACAAAATCTGACACGGGGGTCAAAGAAACCTTTTGTCTATGAGCCGAGTTGGTTGAGGGACAAAGTCCTTAAAACAACCCCAAAAGACCCTGATTCTGTCTTGTTTGGTATGTCAATCTATCATTACACTATGCCAGATTTTATAACGAGAGTCAATATTTCCAAAATAAAGTGACTGTTAACTAATTAATCTTGATAAAACTTTCAAGGAATACTTTTATTTATATAATCAATATGTAATGTGAGTTTCAGATTATAATATCAGTTTTTAATAAAAAATATTAATCATAAATTGTTTTTGGAGTGTCAGGTATTTTAATGTTTACAAAGTGCAACATACATTTTTAATTATAAATAAATTCAAATGATATATTGCCATATAAACCTTTTTCATTAACACAATGTTCGATATACCTGAATAAATTATTATTTTACTATCTTACATATTAATGTTTGCTCCCTGACATTCTGTAACCTTCATCAGTTATTGGTTTTGTTAACATTTCTATCACTTTGATTTTAACATTACTTGCTTTTTTATTTTTATTGCTTTCCAAAAATCTTTGTTGCTTGAATATTGTTTTTCATTTTTCTTTCACATCTCTTTTAATGATGGTCCACATTTTTCTTTTATTGGATTAACATATGGAAATGTGGGGTGGTGGGGGTGACTATATAAAATTGGTAGCTTTGAAACCATTTTTGGCAAGGAGGGCAATAGTCAGCTTTGAAGGATGCGAAGGAGCATTGTCTTGCATGAACAGACTCTTTAGCTCTGTACTATTCAAAAATACCTTGTTCAAGAACTTATACCAATTTTCTACATTTATCTTGAACCATCTTCAAGTTTGAAGGAACCTGTAATTGTACCACTTATAATACTAACACAGAAGATTATTCCACCTCCCTTTTCTTATAAGTTATGGGGGTTGGCTATTTTTCTGAAGGATCTAACCTCTATCCTAGCCATCAAGTTTATCTAGTGTAGCTCTCCATTTATCACTAAAATTACCATTGAGAAATCAAGTTTTCACATATCTCTTCAAACAATTTAGATGTTTCTCCTTGTGATGTGTACATAAAGGTGGTAGTTTGGTTGCTTTCATGTCTTTAGTTAAAATTCTTAATATCCTGCAATTTTTCTCTTTATATTTGCAACACCCGATTCTTCAAATATTTTCTTGTTGGGCAGTCAACTTTTCTTGTTTTATTCATTTAATTTTTCTGAATTTTTTTGGTGACGTTTCTAAACTGAAATTCACCTAGTATATTTATCATAAATAAAATTATATCCTGAAAACTTTACCAAAACAAATTGGTTATTATCAATATTCTTTGCCTAATAAAATCTGACATAGTGTAATTATAAGTTAAGGCATTAAAAAAAGTATTTGTAAAAGTATGAAAATTTTGCAAAGTGTAGGGAAGTCATTTCCACATGGATTAAAAACAGACACAAAAATTTTAAATGGTGATACTCATATCCCTATTTTGGGGGTCATACTATTTATGTTTCTTTTTTCTCTCAGTTTTATCATTGTCAAGGTTAAAATAGTTGCATTTGCTGATTATAACTGTTTGTAGTTTCTGTAAAGGACATATGCAAAGAAAAATGATTTTGTATAGAATTGAATTGGTGTGAAAACAACATGCTCAGCATCCCCCTCACGTTTCCTATATACAGTCATCCACATACAAGCCTGTTCCACTGTATCACAGTTTATCAGTGTGGCTAGACATCCAATTTCTTCAAGCTGGGATCGAAATCTGACTGATTTGGCATCAGTCAGAGGTCCTACCCCTAAGCTATAGTGCACAGCAGAAAAGAGGAAATTTTAATATATTATATATGGATGTATACAAATGCCAGCAGCCAGAGGGCTCAATTCATTAATGAAGAGCAGTACGTTAAGAGAGGTAACGGCTACTGTTTTGAAATTACCCTTTTCCCTATAAATAACAAAACCATAACACAGTCATCCACATCCACATACAAGCCTGTTTTGCTGTAAAAAAACAAGTTAAGAAAAAATTCTTAATCAAGTACTTGATCTTATGCTTATATATAACAATCAATTCATTCCACTTGTTCAATAATGTGCTTCATTCATTAACAACTTCTCAGTCAAGCTATGGTTGCATTTTCCTCCACTCCTGCTATAGGTTCTAGGCTTAGCCAATATTTTTCTGGTTATGCTTGAGGCCTCTTTCTCATTATCAATGATATCCCAATAAGAAGTAAAAAGTACTTTCTATTGGTCAGATTTATTTTGTCATTCTAAAAGTGTCATATGCACTCACTCTCTGCAGCTTCTATGCAATGTTTGACTTCAACACAATTTATTACCTTTGCTTTATATATAATATTTCCTGGTTAAACATGCCCCCTTTATGAGGTGGTCTTCCTTGACTCTACAGTTGCATTTACTGATCTCTTTTTACCACTCTTTACCATTACAATTATTGGCTCCATGTTGCTGTTACAACTACAGCTAACTTTGAGTTTTACATCAAAACACTTATCAGGGCTAAATGTTTCATTGAATCAGATAACCAGATAAGTCACTTTAACTTTTCTTCATTTATTGAATATTATAAGCTCTTGTTATCTATTGAGCACTTCATGGTATCAAAGGTTCTGCTATTTGAAAAATAAAAAAAAAAAAAAATTTCTCAATTGTATTATTATTTTTATTATTATTTTATTATATATATATATATATATATATATATATATATATATATATATATATATATTTTATTTTATTTTTTTTTCTTATTCTTTTGAAAGTTCTTTTGCCCCAAATTCCTTTTTTTTGTACTCAAAATTTTGTTCATGTAATAAAACAAATATAGAAAAAATTAATCTTATAATTTTGCTCAAGATTTTCCTGGTCAATCAATGGCAGAATAACAATAATTTTGTTGGGAATCAAAATTTAGTTGCTTCATTTGACAGAATTTCAAAAGGTTAATAATTTTTGTTTAACTATTTCAGCTGTCTGCCTACATTTCTTTTTCATTCCTGTCTCCTTTCTTGTCTTTTGGCAATGATAATAATGATAATGATAATAAATTTGAAAACTATCAAAGTATAAAGACCTGGAAATCAAAATAGAAAAAATGTGGAAATTGAAAACAAGAATAGGACCAGTCATAGTTGATGTGCTTGGAATGATAAAAAAGGAACACAACACATTGAAAAAATCCCAAGAAATCCCAGCTTAAGAGAAATACAAAAGAATTGTCTTGATAAGTACAGCCACACACTAAGAAGAACTTTGTCCATGCAATGCTAGCAATATTATGTGAGTTAGAAAAACAAATCATGAAATATAGCAATAACAACACACCAATAACTTCTTTAGGTCTTCCTGCAGATTGTGTGACTATAACAGAAATCAAAATATAATAATAATAATAATAATGTGTTGATCTTCTTTTGTCTTTTTTTTTCTTTTCATATGTAGGCTATCACCCTGAACGTCTTGGCAACCAGTTGATGCTTCCTCCAATTACACACAATGTTAACATTTCATCAGCACATGGAGTACCAGCTTTTCGGCACTATGACATTGCTTCTGAAGGTGAAAAAACATTTCCTTAGTTTGATTAATTTCATCATAGTGGTATTTTTTAAATATTTCAGAAAAAAAGTTATTGCATTTACTGCATTTATTTACAGTAAAAGTAAAATGGTTTAAGATTATTAAAATTATATGCTGCAAAATGATATGAACATCAGGCTGAACAATTCATAGAATCTGATGATATTCTTTGAGACTTTACCATTCATATTGATAGACATTGTGATGAAAAACTAAAATATGCCTTCTTATAGATATAGCAGTTTTATCAAATCAAATATATCTGCTAAAAAAACAAATATAAGGATGTTGAAATTGAAACGGAAGAAAATGTGGCACCTTAAAGTTACCATTCTACCTATAATAGTTGAAGCATTGTGAATGGTCAATACAAGATCATTAACAAGATCCCAGTTTACAAGAGATTTTAAAAAATTCCACTCTGTTGAAATGCTCATCTACCCAGAAGAGAATTATCAACATAAAGAAAACCTGAACACTGTATATGTTGAATATCACTTAACATCAGAATGCAATTATTTACTACCTTGTAAGAGATTTTACTTAATGGAGAACAAAGAGAATAGTATGCCATCACTTCACAAGTTGGCTTTGAAAATATTCTGCAAATGGTGCTACCTGCTTTGAGGTTATCTAACTTAATAGAGAACATAATGCAAGAAAAACCAGGAAGAAGAAAAGAAAATAATAATAATAATAATAATAATAATAAGCAGCTTGCAAAGGATAAGAAACAGACTACCACCCACCTGTTATTCATGAATGATGTTAAGTTTTATGCTACTAATAATAACCAATTGGACTCCTTGATCTTATGATATCGGGATATCTTTTGGATTTGATAAGGATGTTGTGTTGGAAATGAATAGAAGAAGAGAGGTAGAGAGCACTAGAACAGAGTTACTCAATGGGGAATCTATGAAGGAAATATCTGGGAGTATGTTTAGCAGGTAAAGAAGCTTTGTTGATGTGCAAGCATTGTTAAATCAGCCAAAGATAACCTAACAAACTTGGACCAAAAGATAAGAAAGACACTGACTATGAACAGGTGTTTACATCCTAGGAGTAAATATGGCAAGACTTTACCCACCCTGAAAAGAAGGCAGAAGGGATTTGATAGGAGAAGAAGGGTGGATAACACCAGAATATGTCCTTGAATGAGTATTTAAAGACTAGCCAGGAGTGGATGCTAAAAGGTGCAATGAATCATAATGTCATTCTGGAGATGGAAAGGTTGGTTGATTATAGGAAGAGAATCTATGATTAGAGAGTTGATGCATGAAGGGGAAAAGCCTTTTGCATGGAACATTTGCATAAGAGACCCAAGATGTGGCAGATCTGGAATCATGGATGTCATAACCAATATAAGTTTGCAAGGGAAGGCTCAAACAAGAATTAAAATTTCAACATGTATTGGTCAAATTTCAGCACATGTGAAAAGTGGCAAAAATTGTTAATATGTGGTCCTTTAGCTGCTGTTGGTAAGGAAAGCAATTAGGTATAAGGATATTGATGGTAGGGCAGGGATTTGATTGATTTGTTATGTTGGTTGGGCTAGGTTAGGGTTGATATCAGAAGAGAGGCCCAGAGTTGATTAGTGAAGCCATGTGGAGCGTCATTGGTGGAATTGACATATACCTTTCTTCAGTGTTGAAACTGAACTGCTTGTTGCTGAGGTCATGGTTGGGGGTTGATTAATGGTAAGGTCAGGTAAGGTGTGTTCATTGATCAATATTATGGTGGTGGGTTGATTTGTGGTAAGGCATGTTGGCAAGTTGGTTGACTGAGGTTATGAAGGTGGTCCAAGGTGGATAGTGAAGCTTGGTCAAGCAGAATGTCTTTGTTGGATTCTGGTAAATTGAGAGATCAACAAAATAGGGTCACAGTGGAGTGTATAGTGAAGCTACAAATCTTACTTTGCTGATACAAGTGGTGTGAGTGTGCATAGTCAGGTGAAGTCACAAATCTGACTTTCCAAGTACAAAGGGTATGAACATGAAGAGTCAGGTGAAGTTGTGAATCTAACTTTGCCAGTACTATTCGAATGGGAGATCAATGAAGCGAACTAACAGTGGTGACAATAAGTGGATAGTGAAGACATTGAAGTGTTAGAAATCACTGCTGCTGTCAGCCTGTCAGCTGCATTCTTCTTATGAAGAGTCAGGTGATATTAGTGAAGCTTGGGTGAGATCACAATGGTGACAAGGGAGGTGCACATGATGGTGATGACAACAGTATGGTGGTGTCATGAGGTGACCACTCAGCTTCTACTGTGTCAATTGTTTATGAGAGGCTTTCTGGTGACTCCCAGTCTCATCATTTTTTCAGCAGGAACATTTGTGATTGGTTATTGTATTTTATATGCCATAACAAAGTAACTCTGAGAATACATTTGAAACTATACAGGAAATATGGCTTCAAGTGTGCAGAGAAATGATATAAGCATTCACTAGTGTCAATAATATTGAATGAGCAAGTGAAGCTCATGTGGGATAATACTATCTTTGTGCACAAGGACAGCCATGAATGGATCCTGATGATTGTGGCAGTACCTTGGAATAAGTGCATCATGAAGGTGTAACAGACGAAAATATGGAGTCACCAAGACCTGGCAGGGCAAATTGAAGAAATGAACTAAGTTTAAGTTGGCCCTTTTGTGTTTGATGCCTTCTGGATTCTTTCCAAGAATCTTTTTGCTTAACAAGACACCTTAGGGATACCTGACATTATTGTGATTACATAGGTGATAGCACTACTTGAAACAACTTATATATGGAGAAAAGTGTTGTGTCTCTAAACTGCAGGTAGAAACTGTGATATCACCATCACAAACTGGCCAAAACATCTAAGTGAGGAGCTCAAATAATAATAATAATAAGTCAAATGTGTGTTTAATCCTTAATAAACTCAGTATAGCACCAATCATCCAAGTAAGAATGAGCATTCCTGAAATTTGAAGATAAGCTCAAAATCCTAAATTTTACCTGAACAAAAACACTGACCTTTGACACACTGGTCAAAATAAACATTCTTGGTACAATTTTAATTTCTACTTTTCTATGTTCTGGATCCTTTTTTAGTATAAAACCTTTGGATCCAAATTTCTCATTAAGTATGATAGCAATGACTGCAGAGATTTGGCAAGAATAAAGAAAGAAACTCTTTGACTGAACTACAAGTACAAATATCAAATTTAGAGTGGAGAGGTTTTCTTAGTCAGTCCATGAACTTTTCTGCACCCAATCATATGACCCAAATATGAAACAAAATAATTAGCATATCTGATATCTTCAAGGTAATTGTGTTTTTAATAAAGCAAAATTTCAAAGATATCTCAGGTAACTTTATTTCTACTCAGCTATATTTTTTAATCTTTTCGTAATCTTGAATTCTAAGTAAAACATTTCTTTTATAGCAAACGAAAATGACAAGATGTTTTATACACAACCATTTCAATTTCATGTTTTTTCTTTTTTATCCCAATTAATCTGTCTTTTTTCAAATGTTCAATTAAAAATAAGAGAATTATCATTAAACTATATTTTTGCGTTCATCATTCTGGTCTTTGTAAGTCTTCTGGGATCCAGTATTTCAAGTTTTATTTACAAAGGATACAAAGTAGGAGCAAAACTTAAACTGCCTACAACTGTTGCATATTTTCATTATTCACAGACCCAAAGATAAAAGGATGAATCTGCAAAGTTAAAAAAAATATCTTGTATGAGTTTTATAAAAAGAAAGAAAGAAAATGATGTCCAAGTAAAACATGTGCAGATTTTTAGTCTACAATCATGTCAATCATATTAGACTTCAAAATGGAGTACTTTTAATTCCAAATCCTGAAATTTAATTGTTTCAAGACCCATAAGGATCAATCGAATCGCCAAAAGCAGATCTCAACTCTTCTGACTTGAATATATTAAAAGTTGGACAAGAAAATTCAACCCAGGCCTTTATATGTTTTTTTTGTTTTTCTCCTGAATTCAAGTTGATAAAGTTTATTTTGTTTTTTGGCATCTTTATCTAATTTTCTCTTTTAACAAAACACAAAGTACCTTTGACATATTCCAGCTGAGCATGGGGAAATAATAATTTAACTTTTATCTCTCTTCCTGAGAAAATACTTTCTTTCCCCAATTTCATATTTATTGAACAGGAGTAGAGATTTAACCCTTGTTTCCTGTTTAGCATGTGGTTTACCAATTCCTTTCTTTCATGACCTTAATGATTTAACTGTCTTAACTTTTTGGTGATTTGACTGATCAGTGGCTGCAAGTTTTCATTATGAGGGTACCAGGTTGGTAGTTTTCTGGTTGCTGCGTCTAACTGGTAGTAAGGAGCTCAAATTCTTTGGTAGTGTTTAGGGAGGCTGCTCTGATCAACAGTCACATAATATCCAGGTATTTACAGTGCCATGTCATGCATGGATAGGTGTCCCTGCATAATTTCCAGTGGGTAACCCTGAGGCCACATTATGCTTTAGTCTTAGTTACTTTCTGGCCAGTTTGTATTGCCATAGAAAATTGATCAGGATAATTATTCTTGCTTTTTCTTCTTAAAACCTATTCTTATGACAGATACAATGAAAAGAAATATTTATAAACCAGTAAATAAAAACTTAACTACCCCTCCTTCAACCTTTTCCCAATATTCTTGGAATTCATATCAAATTTCTGAAGTGTAGAATCTTTTCTCTTGAAACGTTCTCCAGATATCTTTATATTTTGCAAAACTGCTACAGGCTAACTTCCTCATTTTTGAATAGATTCAAGGATGAAAATGCATAAGCCTGGTGTTTACATCCAAGAATTGGATTTTGAGTCCCCAGATGATTCTTTCATGTACTTTCAACTTTCATATTGCAATTTGTTAGCTTTTTCCTTTATTGCTCTCTTTCTTCTCAGGACTGTAACATATTAGACAAAATAACTGACAATATAGAAATGTCTCCCTCTCTCTCTCTCTCTCTATATATATATATATATATATATATATATATATATATTTGTGTTTGCGGATTTTAATGCTCATCACATCAAGTGGCTTAATCACTTTAATGTTACTAATGTTGCCAGTATACAAACTTTAATTTTTTCCATTAACCAGCTTTTCAAATGTCCCTCCTCATTTCCCTAATAATTCTGATCAACATGCTTCTTTATTTGATTTTTTCCTTATCTCTTCTCCTTGTATGTAGTTCTGTAGTGCTGTAGTATCTGTTGATATTTCTTTTGAGTTTTCTATTAGACAGGAACCTCTTATTCACAAGACTGATTTTTTGAAAACTTCAATGGTATGTATTCAAAGTGTGATATGATTTTTCAACATGTCAATATTTCTGGCAGATTCAACACCCATGATATTGAATCATAAAATCAGTTTGAAACTATATCTTATATGCTCATTATCTCATAAACTTTGATTTTTCATAAATTTTATTATTGCCCTAAACTTGTTATACTAAACAACTAATAATCTTTCTTCCTGACTTTCAATATAATTTATTGCAAAACATTATAAATACATCCATTAATTCTTGACCTCTGACAATACCTTTCTTTCTGATTGATTACTGAAACTGTTTAAAACTCATTTTACATAAAAAAATAAATTTGGTTTTCATCATTTTCTTTGGTAATGCAGAAAATGAGATTCTATTGATCATTAGGTTACAAAATATGGAAAGCAAAAATCTTGGAAAAGCAGTTAATGCTAAAATATTTTTCTTTTTTGCTCTTCTACCAGAATTTATTCAAAGGAATTAAATATTTACTGTGTTTGTTTAATAATTCCTCCATGATATCACATGACCATAATAGTCAAAACAAAACTGTACTCATAATATTTGAGTGTCTCTTGAAAGACAATATTTTCTATGAAAGAAAATCCTTTTTTTTTTTCGTTATTTTATTCTTGATCCTCTTATTTTCATACAAATTTGACTTTTGTTCAATACTAGGTGTGGCAAAGATATTCCATTCTTGTCAAAGATTTAATGCTGAAACTATTTTAACATTCTTGAATGTAAGTAAATATTTTCTGAAAATAATAAAAGATGACATGTGACAAAAGAGTCATTTTTAAACAAGTACTAAAAATGATGGATTCATAGGGAATAATAAATATAAACATTTTTAAATGTTAATTTACAAAATTGTATCAGTGTCTGGTTATTATTTTATTCTGTGTATTTTCCATTACTGTAAAATTAGTTGGTGTTTAAAATAAACAATTCCTTTAGTGAAACAAAAGCTTAAAGAGATATCACTTGATTTTATCATTGATAAAAAATTTAATTCAATTAAAGAAAAAAAACTTCTTTTGAAATCCAAAATTTGTTTTTTTTTTTTTTGTTTGTCTCTTGCAGAAGAAGGAGGATCATGCATTTATGGTGGCCCAATTGAAAAGCTCAATGCAACAGTGGAGAAAAAAACTGGAATTTTAGGCACAAACCTCAGAATTGGTGGCATTTTACCCCCTGAAAGAGTCACTAGAGGTGAATATTTTTAACTTTTTTTGAAAATTTCTTTATTGAAAATTTTTAGACTCTTCTATCCAATGCAAGATTTTAGGATAAAATATGTAACCAATTTCTTGCACTTGCACAGTTGAAAATGTTGATGGCTTTAATTTTTGTTCCAAGAAAAGTTTTCCTTTTACTTTCTTTTCTCAGCAAAGGTGGGACATTTTTCAGAATCAGAATTGAGAGTGTAAAGCTAATCATAAATGATATATGAAAAGTGGATAAATGGATAGATAGAAACAAACTAAGATAGATATGGTGGAACCTCGGTTCATGAATTTAATTCATTCCTGAAGTCCATTCATAACCAGAAATGTTCATAAACCGAAACTATTTTTCAAATAGGAATCAATGTAAAATATATCAATTTGTTCCTGGTCCCAAGATGATTGCTTATTTAAACTTTAACAATAGTACTTTGTGCACAAGTTTATACACAAAAGTAATGAAAATCATATAATTCATAAAACTAATGAAAATCATTAAATCAAAAAAATATAAATAATAACAATACTAAACAGATAAAATATAGATGAACACTTCAATTTTACTATTTTATGTAGGAGTGTTGATAGCATAAGTGGAAGGGGAAGGAAAGAGATGCTATTGTATGTGAAAGGGAAGACATAATCATCTCTTTAGTTATAAGAATAGTATAGATCATTGATTTTGCCATATGAAACTGAGTAAGAAGAGACAATATTATCATCATAGAGACAATATCATCAACAATTGTTTTTCTCTTAACTTTTTCTTCAAAAATAAAGGCACAGTACAATAAAATTGGAAAAGAAAAGCACAGCACAACACATGAATGTATACAACATGGCGGTCGACTCAGAAATGATTCTGTTCAGGTTAACTTGGTTCAGCTCAGTTCAGCAATGTTGTTCAAGAACTAAAATTCTGTTTAATAACCGAGACATTTTCATCTCGAATATTCTGTTCAAAAACCAATTTGTTTGACATGAGAGATGCCCGAGAACTAAGGTTGCTCTGTAGATAGATAAATAGATAGATAGATAGATAGAACAGGCAGCCTCAGAGTTAGGTCAGTTCAGTTCTAAAATAAAGAGTTGAAATACTAAGGCATGATTTAAAAAAAAAAGAAAAATAAATCATAACATCAATGAAATTGTGAGTGACTCTATCAATGACAAATATGAAAAAAGAATCTGTGAACTAAGAAGGAAATCTTTAGATTTCTCCAAGCAGTTAGATAAATACTACAATTCTTCTCTATTTTCCAAAAAGACCTTTAACTTTAATGTATCAAGTTCTTAAATAGCTTCATCGGATTGAGACTTTCATATGGATGTCATGCATGGTACCAAATTCATTCAGAGACATCAAAACTATCAACTGTATACAACTGCCTTCTTGGATCAATAATTAAAAAGGCATGTATGTCTTAAGAAGGACCATCCTTCTTCAAACTTTATGGAATGAGGTTACAGAATCAGAAAGAAAGAATTTTATCAAATAACAAAATCTGTATCACTTGAAGACTTTCAACAGCAACAACTAAAATAGCACATAATCAAGATGTGTTGATATTTCACTCTCTACTTCAGATAAAAGCTTAGGCAGGAATCCCTCTCCATCAATACTGAAAGATGAGGCACTACCATAATAATAATTTTACTGGTTCCAAGGCACTAGTATTTAACTAGCTGTCAAGGCATTGCACGTTTATTTAATAGCATAAAACCAGTGCCAAAAGGACTTAGATAACAAATCTAATCCCAAAGAGATATAACTCAGTCTACTGGTTTCTTAAATCAGTCCCATACACAAGTTTAGACAGTGTTCTGCATTCTAAACCTCATTTCATCACATTCATCCCTACCTCAATTGAGCTGATGTGAACCAATTCTTTGGTTAACTATAAACCTAGTTGCATTGGTACTTTACAAACTTGTTCAGATCTGTGAAGAAGAATTTGTTCAACTACTGGAGGTGGGGGGTGGGTGTTACTGAATGATCATCATCAGCAACATTTTATCCGTCTGCTGATTCTGAGATATGAGGCTGATTCATTTTATTCACACTGATTTCTCAAGGTGACTACTCAGCAATTAGATTTTTTGAAGGACTACTGCCAGCTGGTGCAAATTGTTTAGTTCATACCGTTATTGTTTCTCTTCAACATGTGCCTATTGATGGTTAGCCTCAATTGGATCCTATTTTCTCACTGATTGGTTCATATTTACTTTGATGTATATTCGTTTTCATTAAAACAAGACCTGGAGCATGGGGAGGTACTTAGCCAGGATGTAATTTCTACTGCAATTGTTATTAATTCCATGAGACTAAACTTCACTCATCAATGGAAACCAAACTATATTTTTTATTATCTTCTGCTAGTTATCACTTTTTAGTACCATTTTATTTTTGTTGGTCCTTTATGTTACCAAAAGGACTGACAAAAATATAATTTAACAGGACTTGTAGGACTTTAAAGTACATCATTGTAATTTACAAACAGGAAGTAAATAAATGTATTAAGAAAAGTTATATTATTTCCACAACTTGTGTAGTAGAATCTCTATAGATTGGTGGAAATGCAATGCAGTTCATAGGTTCTACTTTTTAGTTGAGATATAAGAATTTCACAAAATTTGTGTAAGTTGTTCATATACAAATGAGTCTCTCCCTAAAAACATTAACTTTGCTATACAAATGTGATATTACCCAACAAGAAGTACTTAATTAACAAGATTATCTCATTAAACACTTTGATTTCCTACATTCCTACATTCCAACATGAATGAATTTGATGTTCTTTTATTTTTCAGGTTATTTGACAATTGATAGTTTATACCCAGGCAATACAGCTGAATACAATGAAAATATTCCTTGCAAAAGTCAGTTGATGAATTTGGCATTAGACAAAAGTAGAGATACAAAGCAATTGCAGGAAAGACCAGAATCCGTTTCCTTCAATAAACCCCAGGATCTGGAAACAATCCAGAAATCAGTAGGTCTGGATCCAAATCCTAATTTTTCTACTGAATACAAATCCAATTACAAAAAGCCTTTTGATGATTTCCCTGGAGGAAACTTTGTGATCAATCCTTCTCCCAATCTCTACTTGAATGGACGCTCATATTTGCCAACAGAATCCATAGAACTTACGACAGAATATCAGACAAGATTCAACTGGCCAGACAAACACAATATGTACCGTCTACCATGGTTAAATTATAGTTGTTAAAAAATACATCTTCTCTGATAAAAAAGGGTTTGGAAGAAAACATAATATTATTGAAGCTGTGATTTGGTCTGTTTTGCTCTGTGGTTAAAGAATTTTCTATAAATATTGGAATGGATTTTATAAGAAATAGAATCAAAAAACAAAAATGTATTTTACATTCCCTAATAAAATAATTGGGTAACTATTTCTTCTTTATTGTTTTTGATTGGCTTTGAACGATTTTCTCTCTGATGGATATTTGCTTGCAATTGCTCAAAATACAGACATGCAAAAATGATCTTTATTGTTTACTTCATATTCTGGTTTTAAACATTTCACTATAACTTTCCAACTTGCAATATATACTGTGTGGTGATAAAACCCTGTGAACTATTTAGAAGGATAAAAAATAAAAATCTGCCCCATAACCAAACATCACATATGATTGTCTCCCAAACGGTTGATGGCTAGAAAGAAACAAATAAATTCTATTAACAGAAAGATGAAAATATAAATTCTTGTTTTTAGTATTTAGAACTTTTTTTTCACTCAAAACCACTCAAATATCTTTTATCATTTCCAGAAACCTTTTCCTTTTTATTTAAAAAAAAAATGTCCCAGTTTAAACTGGCAAATCTACACAATTTCCTAGCCAGCCATATTGTTTCTCTGTCACAAGTTTATTCAAACTTTTTGTTTTGCATAACAAATAAATGAATGTGCTTAACAATCTGAAAATAAGATTAATTTTTTAAAGATGCACAAAAAATCTATTGGTTATTATTTTGAGTTTGTATTCTCCACACACGTTTCATAAGCAACTCATTCTTCATTTTCTCAGCATGCCTGAGTGATCAACTTTTTTAGAACAGCACAACCAACTAAAATTTGGCTCATCCTTGTCACATTTTTAAATTTGATATTATGTCATTTTCTGTTTTGGTCCTAAACATCTGTCTGTCTGTCTGTCTCTCTCTCTCTCTCTCTGTCTCTCTCTCTCTGTCTCTCTCTCTGTCTCTGTCTCTGTCTCTCTCTCTCTCTCTCTCTCTCTCTCATTTCTTTCAGAACATAGGTAATCATGACCCTCAACAACTTTTTGTCTTTTGTTGCCCTAAGTAATTGTTTCATTCATTAATTGCATATTCCAAAGAGGTGCTAACACACTTCTTGTCTTTGCCATTTCTTCCTCTTCCGGTCTTTGTAGGATCTATGCACAAAGATTTGTTCTCCTCTTCTGGTTCCATGACCAAACCAATTTAGCCTCCTCCTTCTCAACAGTGTAATCTTCACGTCTACTTTTCTTCTTTATGATGCCATTCTGCATTCTTATTCCATTTCTGATATTTTTCCCAGTCATGGTTGTGAAGCAGTTAATTTTGAGAGATTGAGAATTTATGTGTGTCCTTTTATTTCACTCTCCAATTTCCACAGGCATAAAAAGCTATGAGAATAATCAGGACATAGAGTCTGGTCCTGATGTAGAGAATAAAATGTCTTTTCTATTCCTGATCTTTTCTTTCAATCTTCCAAAAGACTGCTATTCTTTGCTTACATTCACTTCCCATTTCTTGCAAGCATTTTCAAGTTCTTTTATAAAGAGTTTTAGTTTAGCAAATCATATTTGTGGAACCAGTGTCATATTCGTATATCTAATGTGCATGTAATTCTGGCTCTTTTATAAGCCACCTTTGTCTTTGGCATAATTTTCCTGCCATCCAGTTACCCAGATTCATCAGGTTTCTTGCTGTTTCTCTCTCCTTTTTTTGCCTTCAAATTCCCTGTGAGTGTTAAATTCTCCAAGCCTTCTTCCTCCTTATGTGTCTCAGAAATGTCAGCTGTCTCTTTTTGATTGCTAACACTAATTTCTTTGTAATTCCTATTCTTCTTAAAACTTCCTCGTTTCTCACATGCTCTGTCTATGGTATTCTTAACATTCATTGGGAGAACCACATTTCTGTTGCTTGAAGTCACTTTTTTATCTGTGTCAGTTTTCTAGCAGTTCTATCATTGATCATGTGTGGAATGGGAGACAACATGACTGTGTTTGTGTGTTCATTCTAATCTAGTCATGTGATTGAAGAATCCACAGTTATGTTTCTCCACTTACACAAACTGTTAAGTTCTAGTCTATGGGCAATATTTGTTACCCACATAGGGATTGAGCTTACATCTTCCTGGTTATAAAAACTAATGCTTTGTTGGATTAAGTTGTCTCCCTGTTGGATTAGATGGTTTCAACCCAATAAAATTTAAGCTAGTTGCTTTCCTCTAGTGAAAATAAAACGCTTTCAGTTGCCTAGTGAATTCAGGGGTGAACAAACTTTCTGTTGCCTGGATAATATCCCTAAAATAATTTAACACTGTTATAACCAGGAAGATGTAAGTTCTATCCCTATATTTCGTCCTCTAAATCAGATAACTAACTACTTCACAGATTAAAATGATTGCTGCTTAGGGATTTTGCCACTTCAGTTTGATGGTGGATAAAACCAAAATCAAATCAGTAATTTCATTTTATTCTTTGTTCACAAGTGCTTTTCAAAAACCTGTGGCTATCTGACATTTAAAATTCTACTTTGAAAACCATTCCCTTAAAATCAGCTTAATTTAGGGTGGATAGTATGAAAAAACAACTTTTAGTGAGGATGTCTTTTTCCATGGAATCAATCATACCTCAAATCCCAATTCCAGTTTTGGGAAGTAGGTAAATGTTTATATGCAGGAGCCAATTATATTCAATTTTACTAGATTTCCTCAAGTTCAGGTTCAATTTCATGAGAGTCTCAAATCCAACTTAATTTTATTGTTCAAGCAACAGAACAGATGTCACTTGCCTTCTTCCTTCAAGGTTAAACAATTGAATTAGGACAAAGATTTACTTTGTTAATTTTGTTTGTTTTAGTGTGATATGCATTATAAACAGATAAACAAAGAAACATACAGAAAAAGTCACACTTCATTGTTATATACTAATCACTATGATATGGATATATTTGACTTTCTATGAGATGAGGATATGTGTATGGGTGCATGGCCAATTGATTAGAACATTTGCTTTCTCACCATGAGACACAAGTTCAAAGGGAGGTGATTTTATGATGGATGGTGGCAATCCCAGCATGCAACACATTCAGAAACTGCTTGAAGACCATACCACAGGTAGACATAAGCCATTGTGAGGGAAACTGGATAAACAGAACTATTCTGAAGGTGATCAGTGTTTAGGCTAGTATGAAGCCACAAGTCATTGTGACTGTGGGTCTGAGCATACTGGCCTTGTTTCAGTTGCTAATTATGTGCTTAATTCCAGAAATTGTAGCCAAGGTCTGCTCAGCATAGTTGCAATATAAACCACATGTGGACTTGGTGGGTGTTGAACAAACACAAATGGTCCTGAGCAGTTAAAGTTACAAGCATTAACATTAACCCTTCCCAGTTCAGCAGCACTGTGGGTTTCTTAACTATGGCTGATCAGTCACTTCTCAAATGATCAACCTTCATTGTTTTGTTAGATTTGTGGCCGAATTAATACAGTCAGGGAACTATAGTGTCAGGCCTGTAACCAAATTTTCCTTCACTTGACTTTTCTGTGAGTGATAGTTCTTGAATGGGAAAGTTTTCCTTTCTTGGACCCTTTCAACATTTTTGGCTTGTAATGGTGATGGATGATTGTGGTTGGTAATTTATCTTTTGATCATATATCCTGAATTCTGCTGCTTCTCCTGACATTCCTCAACAATAGTTGTCTAATGACCACAACTGAATGGTTTATATTGAAAATTACTTGGGAATAACTGATTTACAAGTCCTAATTTACTTCCCCACTTTTCTTAAATTTGACTTGGTCAATTCTCAGTCCAGTCCTGATAATAATACTTTGCAATTTCAATTCAAGTTATAATCACATCTATTAACAGCTTTAACTCCATTCTCACTGCTTAGAAATTGTAAATTTCACTTGATTGTAAAATCCACACTAATAATAATATCAAAATGTCCTACTTCCCTATATACATTGCTTACTTTTCTTCCCTTTTCAGGACATAAAATGCAATTTAATTACAAAATAGTCATAAAAGGACTGGTCTGTTTTTAATATCTGGTTCCATGTATGTGTGGTGCACCTACTTTAAACCTGGCCTTGTGCCACATTCCACTCAGTAAAGGGGGGATAACTGATCCAGTTTGTTCTGTTCATCTTACATCTTGAGTGGATCAGAGTTTTTAATTCATAATTTAGTTATTGATAAAATTTTAAGCATTAACAAGTCATGAGAAATTAAAAGAACAAAGCTTTTTGCAATGCATATATGAATATAGGCTGAAGTTTGTAGCAAACTATGATCTTCATTTTTAAACATTACTTTCAAGTATATTCACTTCCAGAAGCAGGTTGGAATTTTAAAACAAAAAATAATAACGGGAAATATGTTTTAATTAAAATTGACGTCGTTCTCATTTTGTAGCTATTGTTAGAATTATTCCCCTTAAAATAGTGTAAAGCGCTAGAGTTATTTCCCTTGAATCATTGTCATGGTGACAGTGTATTCGTATATCGTGACTGACCAAAGTTTGTTCAGTTCTCGTCAAAATGTGATTGATCAATTAAAAAAAAACATCAGAAGCAAAAGCTGAATAAGTTGCTAGAGTTTAAAGTATCCCGTTATTTCTTATTTGTAACCATTACAACTGTATTATTTCTGGTAAAAAAAAATATTTTCTTTTTTTGAAATGAAAGAAAACACAAAAAACTAAAAGCAACATGGTTAAAAAAAAGGTTTGTTATGGCACAGACACTTAATTTATTTATTATATCCAGCAGTGAATTTATTTTCTCTTCCTCTATCGATTTAAAATCAGAATTATGCAAATTAATTGTGCTTCTCATGCTGTTCAAAAATGTGTTCGCATCACAGTAAAACACGTAACTTTTTACTTGAACTTAAACTCTGTTTCATGAGTAATAAAACTTTTGTTTTAAGAGAAAAAAAACAAACCTGCCATTGGCAAAGATATTTACTAAGTTCAACTCGAAAAAGATTAAGTGAAAATGGGAATCACTTTATTGGTGTATAGTGATTTGTAAAAAATTTACTAAACACCCCACTTTTAGTCGGCACTACTGTAGTGTTTCAACTGTCGTCATTTCATTATTTCATGTTTATCGTTTCATCACTGGAGTAAACATGTTTAGTAAGTAGTTTTATCCTTAATAAGAGAGAAAAAGAAAATGATCAGTAAAAAAAAAAGCATTCCTTGATTGTTGGAAGGCAGTTAATGAGAAAATGAAGTAAAAATATTTCACTAATTTTTATATTTTTTATTGACAAAATATTTTTTGATTTTTATTAACAATTAAAAGCAAAAAACCAATAGAATGTCTTTTTTATTTCATAATGAGAAAATATTTTGCCCCAACAAAAAAATTACAAACTTTATTTATTTATTTTTCAGTTTTTGCATAACTGAATAAATATCAACTAGAAAGGAAATCTCCACAGAACTTCAGCTCCCAAGTTGGTCACAGTCATGAGTCAAAAACTGAACAAAATTCTTGATAGTTTTGAGAATGCCAACAAAAAGGATGTTTCTGATTATGCAAAAGGACACCTGAATGAGAGCCACTTGTATAAACTACCTGTAACTAGTATTCATCGGCCTTGGCGATCTTCTATTCGGGAGAGGCTTACCATTATACAAAGCCAGCCAGAAAGGCCAGTGACATTAACACAAGGCCCTAAAAAGAAAATAGCCATTTTAAAATCCAAACAGAAAAGCTTATCAACTCTTCCACCAATAGATCAGAAGATTTGGGTGAAAAAATTTTCCGACTCAAAAACTACTCTCAATGTCAGCACTAGTAATTCTTCAATCAGTGATTCTGCATCACAGAAGTTTGAAAAAGATAATGCTGAAATTAAAAAAAGTCCTGACTTTTTGAATCATCTCTATGCACTCTCTGCTCCCAGTGAGATTTCTTGGTTAAAGAACTTGGTCATACCAAGCCAAATGCTGGGAGTGACTAAAAAAGACCATTACATATCAATGAAGGAGTTTCAATCAAGTGTTGTTGGCAAATTGGGTACTTTTGATAGGAACAAAATGACCGGTTCCAAAATGATTAACAGGTTGCTCAAGAAACTGGAAATGGTAAGAAAAAATAATTTTTGTTGTGATGTATATGTGTGTATTTTAAAATAGTTTTCATTAATAAGAAAATATTCTTTTATTTTAAAAAATCAAATAAGAAACATTAGAAGAAGGAATTAACTTTAGAATAATTTGTTTACCTTTTTTCAGTTTCATTATTAATGAATTCATTGTTCTTCTTTAAAGGTACATAGGAAAAACATATAAAAAATATATATAAAAGCACATTCCAACATTTTATTCAAGTAGCAGTTTTTCAAATATTTTCTTATTGATTGCATGACCAAATGTTTGGTAACATTGAAAAATGTGTCCAATAATATTTGGTTCTGTACAACATTAAATAAAGACAGCCATTTCATTGCTGTCATTCCAGTTTTTATGCAATATGACTCAAAATGTATGTTGGAGCAATGAGACAAAAGCAAAAATTGTTCATAAGAGTTATGATCATTAAATAACACCAGAAATTGCTAAATTCTTTGCAAGGGAACCTAATGCAATCAAGTAATTTGTTAGAAAGCCAAGTCCATAACAGTGAATGACCTGACAAAACAAATATATGGAAATCTTTGATATACATTCAACAAATGGTAACCAGATTGAAAATTCACATCTGCAAGCAACCCACTTAAATGGCAAAGGGTTATTAAAACCCAAATATGCTTAAAAGGTCATGACATGGAAGCATTTAGAAATGTGCACCAAACCAACTAGTCACTCTCCTTTGAAGTCAATTCATATTAATCAGTTGGGATGGACAGTCAATGGAACTGAATTTCCAGAAATTTCAATTCACAGACAAGAATAAGGGGATGTTGGATGGTTCCAGCAGTTGACAAAATGAGTAGCGCTTGAAGGAATCAGCAAGGATGTGTATGACTTAGGATTTCAGGTATCAGCAAGGATGTGTATGACTTATGATTTCGGCAGGAATCATTGGTAATGAGCTGGTTGGGCTCTATATGAACAATGACATTAAAATCATCTTCTGCCTCCACTGAATTTGTGAAGACTAACCTACAGATATGGCTTAAGAAAAAGAAAAGTCATTTTCACACAAAACAATATTCCAGTTCCTGTTGCTTGTGTGACTAATGAATACTTAGATGAATAAGAATTAAAAAATGACTGCCATGTTCCCAGGATCTAAACTCTATCAAAAATGTCTGTAACATTGTTTAGAGACACGTTTATTAGTGAAAGCAATTTGTATCCTAAAAAAAATCATGTTAGTCGTCTTCCAAGTCATTGGCTCTGAAGAAATTCTCAAATTAAATTCTTTTCTCTTGACTGTTGATAGTTTCAAGACATTACAGAGAATGGAAATTATGTCAGTAAATAATATTTTACCTTTTCTACTTTATTGTTGCACCCAACTTGCCTTCATCAGTCTTCAATGTCATTTCTTAGAATTTTTTTTAAATTGATTTTTATTTTTTATCCTTATATACATTCACAATGATTTTTTTGAGAAGATTGCATAAAAAATCGAAGACACTAAAATAATTTTTTATATATATTCTATGCTATGACTTAAGATTTTAAGATATCCCTTGTACACAAAAGACTTTTAAAAAGTCACTCCTTCATAGTCAGCCTATGAACATTTCAGCCCACACTCATAATTATTGTCATTTTCTTGTTTGTATCAAATATTGTTTATTCATTTGGAATAAAAAAATATTTGATTGGCCATTGATTTCTTCAACTGAAATTATCCCAGTTTTTATCAAAGTTTGAATCATTTTTGATGTTGACAATCAGCTGATGTAATTTTCACAAAAAACTGTTCATTGCTGATAGTTTTTGATTGTTTCAATTGTCACAGGATTTGAAGCAATGTCCTCCAACAGGAGAAAATTCCTTGAGTTTGAAGTGGCTGGAATGTTTCAGCAACAGCTTTGAAGATTTAATTGCAAATTCACCGGCATTTGGAAATATTCTGAAAACAATTAAGGTCAGTTGATAAATGAAAGTAATTGATTATTTTTTATAAATTTTAAACTCTTTTTTTATATAAAACATTTTTATCTGTTTATTTGGCCTGAAGTCAGCCAACATGGACACTACTTTAAGCTGAAGCAGTAATAATGATTCATTCTAGATTCTAGTTAAATACTTTCTATCATACACATTGAAAAAAAATCTATAAAATAGTTTATACTTCCCCAGTAGGAAGTTGAATCCTAATGTGGTAAGTGGTGAAACATACGTCATTAGATTATCATTATAAAATGGATAACAAACATCAAAGTTATATATATATATATATATATATATATATATACATGACTTCATTGTCAAGCTTTTTGAATTTTCCTATACTTGTATTTTGATTGGTCCATCTAGCTTTTGTAACAACGTTTTCCCCTTTTGAAGGATTGTTAATTAATTCAAAACTTTTAAAACCATTTATTTTACATTCAACATCATCACTTGATAAGACACTGAGAGTGTTGAAACAAAATGGCTATTTTTGTAGTGATTTTATAACATATTTATGTTATAAATTTTTTTAAATAATTATATATATATATATATATTATATATATATAGGTATTTATGTGTAGGTAAGTTTGTGTATGTAGGTGTTTATATGTATGTATATGCATACATGTATATATATGTGTATATATGTATACATATGTATGTATACATTGTATATGTTTACTTGCGTGTTTGTATGGATGTGTATATTTGCATGTTTTTATATGACACACACACACACATATATATATATATTTATATATATGCTGTATTTTATTATTATGAAGATGAATTAGATATAATAAATTTATGTTGATTTTTATATACTATATTATTAATTTTTCACTCTTTTTTTTATATATATGATGATTGTTATTATACTGATGTAAATTAGATGATGACAATATAAATTTTGATTTAATATCAATGTATTTCACTAGCCGTCACTTGTACTCACCCCTCCTACCCTTACACATTGTGCTGACAATTTGCCTCTCTTTTTTTCTTTTCCGCACTCCTCTCTTCAATAATGCAAATCCCCAGAAAATTTTTCTAGGTCAACTAACATTTAGACATTTACTTCCTGTTCTCTTATTGCCTGGATAAATTTTAACCATTTTGTAATTTTGGTCTGATGAGGCAGGATATTAAAAACTTATCTATCGATATAAATTTATTACTGAATTCATGGATGATGTGTTAAGTTTTTTTCTTTGATGTATATCATATTGCTCTGTATATAAATATATGGAGCTCTCTTCATGGATCTATCTTTTTAATATTTTATATTAAAAATTATTAATAAATTAATTAATTAATTATATTAATATTTTATATTAAAAAGACCTACTTGGATTATTCTTAGCACTTATGGATTTGATATTATATATATATTGTTAATACTCATTAAAGATAACATTTTGATTGCACTTGACAGAATTTAGATTTTGATTTGTTGCAAAGAAGAATATTTACTAAAAATTTGAAAGTAAGAAACTTCTACAAGTGTTTGCTGCATTTAACTTTTTCCACCCAATAGTATAACAAATAAATACTTTAAAATAAGTTTGATCATGGGGGATCTGATTCAGGAAAATTGAAAATATTTTTATAGTTTTTTAATCAAATATAAGCATTGCTTATAGAAAAAGTCTTTTTTTGCAGCAATGTTGTTATTTAGTTAGAATTACAATTAATATAGGAAATACACTTCCAATAATAGTGGTAAGAATTAAAAATACATTTTATTTAAATTTTTAAACAAAGTTTTTATATGTAAAGCTGTGTGTGTGTCGGTTGATTTTCTACATCTGTATTTTTCCATATTAGTTTCATTATTTTAAATATTTGTAGAAATCAACGTGTGTGTGTGAAACATCAAAGTCCATACATTTTAGTAAATGTGATTACTCACAGTTTACAAACAAGAAAGAATATTAAAATGTTATCATGTCATTTCAATTGTGATTCTTATGGTCACTCAGCATTTTTTCTTTGGATGGGTGGTAAATGGAATTGATTGCTGTAGATTTGTGTAAATGAGATGAGACTTTTCCGTTTGACTACAACCAATCACAATGTTTTTAGATGATAGAAACTCAATTTTGAATTTACTCAAATCAACAACAATTAGTTAAAAATTGTCTTTTATATATAGCGATCAGTTTTCTGTTATATCCACACATTTCAAATTTTATGACTTTTTGGCATTTGTTTTCCAGTATATAAAAAACATCATATAGTTTGAGCCTTTGTCTGTGTAGCTTTTTGATTTGTTTCAGGAATCTTTATGTTAACAATTTTAATTATTAAGGATTGAATCTTACTCCAAATTTCATCATTTATTGTTTGGCTCAATTACCATTTCAAATCAACTTTGTTTATTGCCCTGCCTTGTTGTCTTTTTATTTTGTGCTTTTTTTTGATGAATGGCATCTCATTATTATTATTATTATTATTCCTATTGACTTTATTTTTCTTTGTTCAGGCAGAGTACGATAACTACATTTCATATTTGCTGGACATCCATTTGACACATGGGAAGATTCTCCAAGAGGAAATTCAGCAAATGTCAAAAGGAAGCATCTCTACTCAACTTTCTTTATCTCAGGCCAAACATAAAATGGAAGAGCTTGAAAGCACAGCAGTCAAACTATTGGAAAATACAGAAAAGTGAGATGCTTTCTTTTCCCACCTTTTTTTCTCATAGAGGATAATGAGTGTCAGCCATTTTGAAAAATAAGACCAGAGTTTAGAAACCATTCAGTACTTTTAAAAAGGACATCTTTTTTTTTTTTTAATAAATGATTCAAGATCTGTGTAAAAAGTTATTTAGTAGTAATGGAAGAGATAGATGCCATATCACTTAAATTCAAAATTTCAAATTCCAACTAACGACCAATTGTGTTGGCAAAGGCATGAATCTACCTCTCCCTACATTCTGTCCGATTGCCAGATGTCTTGACATGAACAAGAGAGAAAAGTGCAGTAGAGTTAGGGTTTCTTCTCTGCTATTGTACCATGTAACCCAATATTACATGCCCTGTGTTATTTGGAGAGGAGATGGGAACTGCCAATTAACCTCACTTTTTCTAGAGATCCTCTGAAGGACGTATCATGGGATCCCTACAATCAATTTATGTTAGATTACTGGATCAACCACCTAAATGATTACATGGCTGTTTTTGTTATTTAGTTTAGCCCAAGGCTACAAATAAGGAGCACCAAGTGACAATTGAACTCACTACTCAATTGTAATGGTCATCCAGATTAGCTTGCTGAATCCCTTTTCATGGTTGTTTTGTTATTTAGTTTGGTACAAGGGACACAACTATAGAGCACCAGTTCAATATTGAACACTACTTAATTGTAATGGTCAATCAGATTAGCTTGCTGAGGTCCCTCCACTTCAAGGCTGTTGTTTTTTTTCTGTAAATAAATAAAACAAGAATCATTTTGTTGCTTCTGTTTTCAGTTTGTGTTTGCCATCAATTTAAAGAATCTACAATGATTTTTTTATTCACAACAGAAATTGGCTTTAATTATTGAAGAAATTTTGATTAAATATTGCCATTTTGCTCTTGTAGATTGCAGAAAGAAATTACTGAAGAAACTGAAGCAGCCAAAGCAAAAAGTATAGAAAGCATAAGTGAAGGTTAGAGAAAAATATTTTCCTTTTTATTTTTCCAAGACTGAATGTCAGTAACAAATATAGTTTGATAATCATTCATTGAAGGATTTAGAAAGCTTCCTTAATATCAAATTAGATTCTTAATTTTGAATTTAATAACCAAGTTTTTCATTATTTTTCAAATATTTTGAAATGTAAATAGTGATCAAAGATACTGATTTCAAATAATGTAAAAAAAAAAAATAAATTTTTCAGATATTTTGAAAATGTTTTATTTGTTTTGGGGTTAAGATAATGTGAATAATTTTACAAGAAAGAGTTTTTTAAAAATATAATTTAATTATTTATTGTATTTTTAAATATAGTTTATTGTATTCTTAACACCTATTTAATTGTTTCATTTTCAAATAAATTTAAGTTATAAAGTGGTAGCGATTGAAGTGGGTTAAATGTCAAAGTGCACATTCGTATTGTATTTGCTATTATGATAGCAAATACACATTTTACAAGGTAACTTTTTTAAAATAAATGCTCTAATCTGAACCCTGATTTCGTGTCCGCTTTAAAATAATTTTATAATACTGAACCGAAAAAATTTCTATCATTTATTTTCAAAGTAAAAATCCATGAAACCATCAGATTGAGATCAAATATTATTTTACAATTATTATTTCCCCATGTCACAATTTTATTCGGAATAAAAACTTGCGACTAAAAATTCCAATAAGGGGTATTATTTAAGGGAGACAACTCCTCGCTGCTTTGCACACAATTCTAGTAAATATTTTAATAAAGTATGACATTTTTTAAAGCTTGAAAATGAAAAGAAATATTTTATTTACATATTTATTAAACAAACACTTTTGAACATGATTGAACAAGAAAGAAAATAATTGAATTTGTGGATAAAAATGTAAAATGTAAGAAAAATGAATAATTCATTACGCCGGCAAACGCTTCAAATCAAGATGAACAATTGCTTACGAAAGTAAATAAATCTACTAATTAAAATTAAAATAAACTTTTGTACGTTATTACTTCACCTTATTAGACATTCTTATTTTAGTATTAATAGAATTTATAGTAAAACTTAGCAAATGTGTGTCAAATACAGACGAAGAATCTGTCTTTCCTTATGACGTCATCATCCTTTGAAGGCATTCAAAAGCAGAATCAGCGGAAGTAGGATTTTAAAACGAGGCCAATTTTCCGTAACGTAGAGTTATCTCCCTTGGTCTGTAAAGCTGTCAGAAGCATTTCTTAAATCAGAAATTCAAATTAATATCATTTTAATTAAGTAATATATTTCAAACAAATTTTTTAACTATTCATACAAAGTAAGTGCAAAAGTTAGAGAAAAACTTTTCAGAATAAATTATTTTTAAAAGACAACCATGTCAAATTTATTTTTTCCGAAAGCAAAATAAAATTTATATTTTCACAATGTTTTGGTGATTGTCATAAAAATATTTAATCTATAAATGTTTTAAAAATATAAAGAAAGAAAAAAATACTCTAAAATTATGATATTTTTAATATGTCTGATATCTTATGATTACATGGAAAGAAAAAGGAAACAAAAACTTACTAGATAAAATTTAGTTGATATTAAAAGTACTAAACTGACTAGATTGAGCAATATGATGTTTGGTGAAAATCTTCTGAGGTAAAATAGCATAACAGTTGTCATTGAACAGTTTGTAAAAATGTTGATTAATAAATATTTGATATTATTATTGAGTGAAAGAGATGCACACCAAGAAAGTGACTCTGGGGTAGAGATAGACAAATCCCAATGTACGCTGAATAACTCTGTTAAGAGTGTACCATGCAATTTCAAAATGTCTATGTAATGTGGTGAGATGGGAAGTATTAATAAAAGCAGCATATAACTTTGCAGGTAAGTCAGGCCCAGTTAGGAATACTTTTCAATTAGGTAATCCAATCTGTCTACTCAGATGGTCTCCAACTGAGAGTTTTCAAAAGTGTATAGACATGACTTCCTGGTCACCTTGGCTGTCTCATCAAACTCAAACTTAAAAAACCTTGTCATGATTCTCCTCCACTATTATTCTGTTGTAGAATTAGAATAATGAAGAACAAAATAATATCTATAATAGTGAAGATCTTGTTTTATTATATATAATAAAGAAATGTAACAAATTAGCTCATAAAGAATAAAATGATACACATGACTGAATGGGAAAGTAAATCCAGTAAGAATTGTGCAAAGGACAAGGATCTATGTAAACTGATGGTATATACACAAATCAGAAGTTATCTTAGAGAATAAAAATTAAAATTCTACAAGAATTTCAAACTTTAACTGGATTGCTCATCTCAGACTAGAATACTTGATACACATGACTTGATTATACACAAGGGAATTTGACAGAGGAAATTTAAAAAAAAAAAAACAGGCAAAAACAAGGACCTTATGAAAGAATTTAAAAAATTATGGAACATCAAGATGGCAGTTGTACACATAATTATTGGAACACTTGGAACAACATAATAAAGAATTGAAATGATGTCACTTGATCTACAGTGAAATCCACTGGGTATAAATGTGGTAAAAAATATAAATATAATAATAATTAATTTGAAGCAGAACAAGAAGGTGGCCCATCACAGGCATAATAAGATTTTGAAGAAAGCTCAGTTTTGATACAAAGTTACATTACAGAGCACCTTGACCAGATTAATATCACTACTGATGGCTTTCAAGATCAGCAGAGAAAGAATCAATAAGTCATTACATAAAATAGTTTGGAAAACTGAAAGACAACATTATTTTCTAGTGAATTCTTTTATATATCTTTTAATTTCCAATAAATATATCAACTTTATCTACAAGCTAATCTCTTTATACTTACACTTAAAAAATACATTGACTTCACATGCAGTTTATCTTATTATCCACAAATAGATTTTACCTATTTATATACCTGTGTTCTGCACACATGTCTGTGTATTTGTGGCAACATCTTATATATAAAATATTCAAGTGTTCACAAACTTTCTCTCATCTATTCTAAACCTCAATATGAATCAAAATTTTATATATTTTAATCAGCATAAAAATTTTATAATTCATTTGTCAGTGTATTATCTTCCTGTTTGGCTGATATATTCTCCAACCTTCTATAGGTTACATCTGTAGCAAGACCACCAGATGCAACATTGAAAAAGACATTTGGGCAAATTCATAATGTCTGAATTGTTGTGCTAACAACAAGGATGAAGATAATAGCTTTAAAAACAAAGGAAAATTGAATATATATATATATATATATATATATATATATATATATATATATATATATTCTGTTTAGTGCTTAAAATTTGTTCTTTTACAGAGGGAAGAGTCCTCAATATCAGAAATAGACTGTGTGTCTATAGATATATACAATATGAATCTAGGAATCAACCTGGGTCTGAAGAAGATCTCATTGAAGCATGAAACTTTGCAGTGTTGATTTCCATATCAATATGTCTCCCTCTCTCTCTCTCTCTCTATATATATATATATATATATATAGAGAGAGAGAGAGAGAGAGAGAGAGAGAGAAAGTGTCTATATTGTGGCTGAAATAGTTGTATAGTTCCCATTGACATTATTTTAACAAAAGTAAAAGAGATGATTAGGGTATGCAAGTTCTCACCTCTTGGAAGACTGGTGCTACACAATCTTCCTACCTTCATTAAAACTCATCCTAAACTAAGCTAAACTTAGTTAACATCTCTATTCTAATATTTATTTATAGATTTAAATCCTTTTTCCTTTTTTTTCCAGAACAAGTGGAACCAGTTTCCTCTCGTAGTTCTGGAGATTTATACCATGAAGTGGAAGAATTGCGAGTGGCCATTTTGTCTCGTCTGGATGAATTGAATGGCATGAGAGAGGATATTTTGGCAAATTATGTTCCTGTTTCTGTGTGTCATAACCTGGAACAATGCATCAGAGAAACGGAGGTTTCACTTTTGGTTTCAATTACTTGTCATTCTACTGTAACTGATTGCAATGTTTTTTGTTTTTATTTGTTGATTTTTTGCATGAAGTCAAAGAAAAAATGGCTGCCTGTGTAGTCAGCTTGCATTTAGGCAATTAAATAGAACAGTCTAGTGGATTGATTCGTAAGGTTGATCTCATTCTCTCTGCAGGTCATGGCATCAATCTTTTTGTTATACAGAAAACCAGTTCAGTAAAGAAGTTAAGGAAGAAAACTGTGCCAAGAAATCCTAAGAAAATAAACCAAATTTGATAAACTCCTGAGAAAGACTGAGGATTACATCTGTCAAAAAATCAACAAAGATGAAGATGTTAGTCTGAAAAATCACTGAATAGTAACAATCAATTATTTCAATACATTGCACATATGTAAAGTGTAAAGTTATATTTCTCAAAATCAATTTTCAGTGATTCTTCTAAAATAATGATCTCATCTTTGTTGCTTTTATCAAAATGCTTCAATTTTTTTAGACAGCTTCTTTATTGTTAAGTAATTCATGATTTTATAATCTGTTTGCTAAGTTACAGTGTTGTACATATTAAAGGAATCTTTATTTTGCTACATTGTTTATTGAAATAACTTCAGAGATGATGATTTGATGTCAAGTCTCTTGAGGCTCACAATTCTTTTGGTGCAAACCAACATTACTTGTAGCAAAAAACATTTAATTATAAAAATTAAGAAAAAGAAATCTTGCATTTCTTGAGCTTTATTTTTATTTATTTTTACTTTCTGTTTTCAGAAATGCAAACAATTTTCTTCATTCAGTTTTTACAGAAACGATTTTGATAAATGCACAAACTAAATGCTATTTGTTTGATTTGTCAAAAGTTCAGAGTGAAAAATGGTTGCGTATCAAAGAACTATGACTATTTTTAACAGAAATCTTTTTCATTTTACATAGATTTTCTATCATCATTAAACATTGTTGTAATTGACTGAATTTTCTTCATCCATATCCAGAAGAATAAAACTCAATGGCAGTGTCAAAATTGTTGAATATTTTCAGATGGAGTTGCAAAAATTAATCAAACAGAATGAATATTATCAAAGAAGCAGTAGTGAGATGGAAGGCTACTTGAAGGAGGCCATTGTTGAAGCTGACACCAGTGATAGAGACGTTAGGTAAGTTGTGAAAGCATTAATTATATACGTCACCAAATGTTCATTGGTAATTTAATAATGCATGAATAATGTTCTTAAGTTTTGTGTAGAAATCAGGAATCACACAACCCAAACCATTCTGCATTTTATATTATTTGACATCATTATTGCTATTAACGACTTTAAAAGGACGAGTGATTTCATATGTTATACATACAAACACTCACAAACTTTTCACAATGTTATGAATAGGATTAGAATACATTCAGAATATTCAATGCACTACAAACAGTTTAAAGTTTAAAATTCTTTACTTGATAAAATAAAATAACTTAATATAAAATTCATTACATAAAAAAGTTGATTTTTTTGTCTGAAAAGAATGAGAAGAAAAAAATGACTTGTGAAAAAACAAAAAATGACAGATTCTTGTTGTATATTCATTTCTAATTTGTAGCCCCCTGAACAATATTCTACAAGAATATAGATACATAAACTGTACAGTTAGTGTAGTTGTCAAAAGGTTACCGCTAGGTGTCTACTAAGATTACTCGTCAATGTCGAAGCAGAGACCCAAATTCAAATCAGCTGTTATAACACAATAAGCTTAATAATTAACCTTTCTTTTAAATAAACTACAACATCTGTTCCAAATTATTCAGTTGATAAAATCTTCTTTTTAGAATTTGTCAATTAATATGACAAAGTACATAACTGTTATGTCTTTCAAGTTGCTAATTGTTTTTCATGGGTCTTATAATTAAATCAAGCTTTTTAAAACATTTTAACAGCTTTGAGAACCTTTTTTCAGCATTCTCATCCATGATGAAAGTCAATGAGACAAATTTGAAGATCAAACTGTTTTTTCTTTTGCTGCTTTTTTATATTAATCTGGCTCAAAATAATCTTACTACATGTTAAATGTTTTTTGTTTGTCATATCTTTTTGGTGTAATAAGTTATCTCCCACGATTTATTTCTATATTTCATGGCTTACATGTAAAAACCTAAAAACAGTAAAGACTTATATGCTATTAATATACTGTTATTTTTGACAGCCAAGGTAAACTAGCATTTTAATGCGAAAGAAAGATTTAGACAATCATTTGTGCTGGCAAAGATTCTCAAAAGTCTTAGGAGATGATTTCGCTTAAATGACAATATCAAATAACATAATAAGTTCAATTTTGGTGCCTTCTCCCTTTTAAAGTAACTTTGCACTTGTTTATATAATCACCTACGTGCAATATGTCTTTCTAAGTAGTTTTTTCTTTTAGATTTGGGAGAAAAATCTCTCTTGTGTTTTCATATATGAATTAATAAGATTAGACAGATTTGTCTGTCAAGTATCTTAGTCACATTTACCACTATCTCGGTACATTCCTTTTTGTTATAGAAAATGTACTGAATGACTAAAAACATTATTGTTAGGTGGTATTAAGAGCATTTATTTTTTATTTGATTGTCATTTATCAAAACTGTTGTATTTTGAACTCATTCTAACACTGAAAATGGCTGAAAATATGGAACATTTTTAGTGTAAAAATTTTTTGTAATCTTATGGAAGAAACTCAAATGCAAAAAAGGATTTGCATGGTTTTGTGGGAAGGTACTGTGAATAATCAAACATGTCAAAAATGGTTTGCAAAGTTTTGTGCTTCTGAGTTCTCCTTGGAAAATGCTCTGTGGTTGAGTAGACTAGATGAGGTTGATAGCAATCAAGATATTTTTTGAGAATAATCAGCATTATACAACACAGGAGGTAACCAACAATAAGTAAATATGCAAATCAAGCATTTAAAATCATTTTCACCAGCTTGGTTATGTTATGATAGTTCTTAAAAGAAAAAAATCTTTCTTTTCACTGCAGGAGAATCTGGAGGAAGATTTATTCTCGGAAACATCTTGGAGAATCTGAAGACATTAACAAAGTGGATGAAAATCAAGAATCAGATGAAGATGATGATCATGAGAGTAAATGGAATTGGTACATTTCTTAAGAAGATTCTGTAGACATTCTGTTCTTTCTTTGTGCTTTGGAATGAACCAATATTTTTGTAACTGAACCTTTTTTTTCATGATTGTTTTATGCTCAAGCCCAAACACACTATGGCTATAAAAATGGTCCGTGACTTTAAAAACTATTATCCTTATCTTTATTTCTTTTTGTAGCTCTTCAAAAAGAAATAAGAAAAGGCACCAAGATATTTGTTGATAATTGATTAAAGACAAGATATATTGCAAATGAAGAAAAGATATTGCTGTATCAAATGAAATCTTTGAAAAAAAACATGATTTGTTATAAAAGCAGAAGAGAAAGATCTTTAGATATTTTTAAAAATTGAACATGTTGATGAATGATTCAAGAGAGAAAATATAAAGCCCTTCCATTTGCATTTCAAGGTTCTATTAATAGAGCTTTTATACCTGTAATAATGAAAAGAAACATCAAAGGTCATTAGTAACTGATTAATGGTTGAGTAGGTGGGGGGGGTTACACATAATTGGTGATGAATGTTAACTTCTAAATTATGATAGAAAGATCCATCAATGGAAGTTGAGCTACAAAAATGCAATGATGGAAATTTCCTTGATCTAAATTTAATGGGTTAATAACAAATCTCAAGAAAAGATTTATTAATGACAGTGCCCTCGGAAAGTTGCAAAAATGGAAAAGAAAAAGAAGAAAAGAGAACAAAAAGAAAAAGATAGTGTGAAGAAGGAGTTGAAGAAAAAGAGGAGAGGAGAAAAAGCACAGGAAAAAAGAAAAAGAAGGAAAAGTGGAAAATGGGAAGAGGGAGTAAAAGAAAAAGAGAAGATCCAAGCCAAAATGCAGGGATTTGGTCAGTTAAACAAATACTTGAGAAAATTGTGTCCAAATGTAGGTTTTCTTTCTTAATGAATCTCTTCTGCCTTTTGCCTTTGATGAATTTTCTGATGAAATAAAATACATTGTAAAAATAAGATTTCCTATTTTGTCAATTCAATTTATTCATATTGGTTTTCAGATATATTCATTTATACCTGTCTAACTACTGATCAAGATTTAAACCTGAAATCATCAGATCTTAACCCTATTGAAAATGTATTCCATAAAACTAACACTAACTTATACTCTATGACACATGTTGCCAGCATTACTCTGGTAAAGAGAGCAGTTACATTATTATGTAGTTGCCTAAATTTTGTCACTTTGTTACATCTATCTATCTATCACTTTGTGAGGTCACTTATAGCTACTATCACATATGTCTCAATAAAAAGGAAGCCTCAGTTAACCAATGCATATAGTGGTGCACCATCTTCTGAAAATATTTCCATTCTTTCTACTCAAGAATTTTATGCATGGCATAATTTGATATTTATAAATGCTTTTTAAATAGTTTAGCATTTGCACTTTTAAACTCAAAAAAAAAAAACTACAAGAAAAAAAGAAATTAGATGAATACGAAAAATGCAAGGGCAGGATTGGTGGGGACAAGATTTTTGAGTTAATAAAAAGTTTCAAAATTGAGTTCCAAGATTGCTTAAAAAATTTGAAGAAAAGAATTCAATTTTCCATTTCAAAAAACTATGTTGAACTTGACACTCTTTTCTCAGTAAATTTAATGAATGCCAATAATTTGCATAAAACAATCAGTCAGCTTTATTTTATAGAAATTGAAAAGTCTGTCATCTAAATTGATTTCCATTCATCATTATCAATTGCCTATCTAACTCTATGTACTTTCACTTATATTTTTGTGTATGTGTGTGTATATATATATATATTTATCTGTGTATGTTTGTGTATGTATTTATAGAAAGTGATGAGAAAGATAATATGGGAAAAGATATTTTCTCAATTTCAGATTAAATGAAAAAAGCAAATAAAAATCAATGAATACGACCAATTTTTAAAAATCAATTTTGGGATGAACATTTTATTTTTTATGAGGAATCAAGTGACTTGGCAGTTTGATTTTGCATAATAAAGAAGAAATTGGAATTTTAAATTTAATCATCAAAAAATTTCCAATTGTATTTGTCTACAAGAGAATATTGATAGACATTGTATCAGACTGTTCTTTACTTCACAAGAAATAATTGTTTTCACAATAAATATAAAATAATATAAGTAAATTTAAATAAATGAAATGATGATCAATAGGATTTTTGGAAAACTGTTAAAGTCACAAAAATTGGTCACTAATTAAAAAAGATATCAGCCTCAAGTTATTGGTTTCTAGTAAAAACCCTAACCCTGCCAAAATCAAATGATTGATGCCTAAAGACAAACGCATTGCCTCGTTGCAAATGTTGGGTGAGTTGAGATATTTACTCCTTAACAAATCATTATCGTTTATAAAGATGGTTGACAAAAATTTAGTTCAGCAAGAAAATATACAGACATTTAAAGACTTGGACATATTTTTTTTAATCTATTTAAGGTTTTGCAAGTCTGTGAGGCATGAAACAAGGGATGATGATCTTGTGTGTCAAATGTTGTTATTGACAAGCAACTGTATCATTACTGTATGAAATCTGATAGGGATATTAGAAACATTTAGAGACATTGGTATTATTTTGATATACATTCATATCAATACTCTTATTGTCAAAAATCCTCAATCCATTGACACAAATGTTCACTAATGCATTGATGAAGTGCAATGATTATTATATATAATAATCATTGTAATATAATTATTATATAATACTCATATTGTAATAGTAGAAAGATAAAAACTGAAAAAATTAACAGCAAGTTTCATGCACCATTGACTGCATCATTTTTGCTGATTCTTTATGGTTTGGTAAACAAAAGATATTTTTTACTTACCTCTCATCATAAGCAGCAACAGGTAAATTGACTAAAGTTGCAAAAGATAATAAAGGTTAATTCAATATATATATATATATATATATATATATATATAAAACACAGGATGCGATGTGTAAATTGTTGCCATTTTATATTTTTAATTTCATGCATGCAAGTTGTTTTTGATTTTGTCGACTGAGGGTACCATCTGTGAGAAAAAGAGCACCATGATGCAAATTTGGAAACAACATGCTGTACTGCTTGGCATTTGTGCTGGAAGTTCCAATACAAACATTTCAGAGTGTTTGGGTGTCAATCTGAGGACAGTGCAGAGGATTCGGAAAGAGTTGAATGAGTCTAATGTTGATTACGAAGGTGTTTGGAGTGATCACTAGTGATGGCGATGTTATTCATTTTACAACAGGGCCTCAGACTCAACATGGAGGCCTACATCAAGTGTCTTGAGATGGTAGTACTGCTCTGGGTTAAGAGGATGACTGTTGGAAGATGCTATGTCTGGCAGCGGGACTCTGCACCATATCACACAAGCAAGAGAACCCAGTCATGGCTGTCAGACAATTTATGTGACCACATCACCCCTTGCATTTGGCCACCTAACTCCCCAGACCACAACCCACTTCATTATTATATGTGCCGTGCAATTGGGCAAGAGACCAACAAAATTCCTTGTAACACCAAAGAAGGCAAGGATTATGGCAGCATTCACCAACTTAAACAAGGAGACTGTCCAGAAGAGTTGCAGGAGATTCTGAAGTCATCCTTTATAGTCATTGTTATATATATATATATATATATATATATATATATATATATATATATATATATATATATTTTTTTTTTATGTTACTGTGTAGGTTGATATATTTATTTCTATGTGTGTGTGTATATATGCGTATATGTATGTATATGTGTGTATATGGGTATATATATATATGTATATATATATATATATTATGTATGTTTCTGTTTGTAGTGATGAATGTGTGTACATATATGCATGTATGTATTTTTATATATATTGTTATATATTTGTACTCGTGTATGTGTATTCATGCATATATAAGTATATATGAGATATTTATATATATTTGTGTGTTTATATGTTTCCTTTTTTATATATTAGCTGGTTTTATTTTATTTTAAGTGTTGCATTTTGCCTGAACATTTGAATTTGGTGTTTTCTTATGTGTGTGCATACATATATATTTATTTTTCTATCCATTCAATATATTTTATTGTTTTTTTCTTTGCATTGTTCATTGACAAATATTTGTTTTCCTATTCTCCTCCTCTTAAATTTTATCTATTGAACCCTCTTTTTATCTATATATCTTTGGCCATGTAAGTAATATTTTAATAGTCTTAATTTGTTTACTAACCCTTTCAAATTTGAATATTTGTAGCTGTGTATATGTGTGTGTCTTTATTAATGTATGTGTGTGTGATTGCTTATATATGCCTTTCATTGTATGTATATGTTGTCTGTTTTTTTTTTTTTGTTTTTTTTTTAGGGTCGTGGACATCTATTTCCTGTTTCGTTTTTGTTTTTGCATGTTTATATATGTAAATATGTCTATGTGTATTATAATCTGATTGTGTATATATTGTCTTTTGCAAGATTTCATCCTCCTCTACCCATAAATGTATCTAAGTTGTAGCAAAACATTTTATACATTAGAGTTTTTAGTCTTTCAATCAAAATAAATATTAAAATATATGTATTTTCTCTTCAGTGTCTTCTTTAAAATTTTATAATATTTTAAACTTAATACAGATTAAATTTAAAATTTAATATTAATTAGTTAGAATGAGTTCTATTTTTAGTCTAACCCTAACATTAAGGCATTAATAATTATAACCAAGGTTCGGGGTCAAGTTTTTTGAATTCTCATATACTTGTATTTTGATTGATCATCGTAACTTATATAACAGCGTTTCCTCTATAGAGGTGTGTTTGGTCGAGTTGAACCTTTTAAAACTCTTTATTCTACATTCAAAACCATCATTTGATAAGACACCAGAAGTTTTAAAACAAAATGGCTATTTTTGTAGTGATTTTATAACATATTTATGTTATAATTTTCAAATAAATGATATATATATATATATATATATATATATATATATATATATATATATATGTGTGTGTGTGTGTGTGTATGTGTATATATATAT